AACCTTTCCCATCACCGATCGATATACTGACGCCGAGACTCGACCCCTGCTGATGAGGAAGGGTGTGTACCCCTATGAGTACATGGATGGCTGACCGACTCGACAATATCCCAAGACGAATACTCGCACGCGATTAACGTATGGAATAAACTTGGCTGTAAGAATCTGGGTGACTACCACGACCTGTACTTGAGGACAGATGTACTGTTGTTAGCCGACGTGTTTGAGACGTTTAGGCGGACGTGTTTCAAGCAGTATAAACTCGACCCCGCATGGTACTACACCAGCCCAGGTCTGTCATGGGATGCCTTGCTGAAAAAGACCGGAGTTAAGTTGGAATTGCTCACCGATTATGACATGCACCTATTCATTGAGAAAGGCTTGCGAGGCGGGATTTACATGGCATCCAAACGATACGCGAGAGCAAATAATCAATATGTGAAGGGCTACGACCCGAGCGAGCCAACCAATCATATTCTCTACCTCGATGCCAACAACCTGTACGGCTGGGCCATGAGCCAGTATCTCCCCACAGGGGGATTCGAATGGGCATCGCACGAGATTGATGTTATGAGCATCGCGGGCGATTCGAGTAAAGGCTATATCCTCGAGGTTGACTTGGAATACCCCAAGGCATTACACACATCACACAACAGCTACCCCCTGGCCCCCGAACGTATAAGGGTTAACCCAGACTGGATGTCTGAGTACCAACATAACTTGTTGGGTGGGCGGGTGACAGACGTTGAAAAACTCGTGCCCAACTTAATGAATAAGACCAAGTACATCGTTCACTATCGCAACCTACAGCTGAACCTGTCGTTGGGTATGAGGCTGACCAAAATACACAGGGTGCTCATGTTCAACCACAGCCCCTGGATGGAGCCATACATCAGAATGAACACAGACCTCCGAAAGCTTGCCACCAGTGACTTTGAGAAAAACCTCTACAAGCTCATGAACAATTCGGTGTTTGGTAAGACTATGGAGAACCTGAGGAAACGCGTGACCATGAAGCTGGTTCGGTTGAATGAGGAAGAAAAGCTCAGGAGACTGATAGCCAGCCCGGCGTTCAACCGGAGCAAGATATTCACTGACGACCTGGTTGCCCTACACATGAAGAAAAGCCACATAAAATTCAACCGGCCTGTTTACGTGGGGATGAGCATCCTCGATTTATCGAAACACCTGATGTACGACTTTTACTACTACGAGCTGAAAAAACAGAACGGCGACAGGTGTGAAGTACTGTACACTGACACGGATTCCCTGCTGATGCAGATTCGAATCGAGGACGTGTACGAGGACATGAAAAAACGCCACGATTTGTATGACACCAGTGACTACCCCAAGGACCATGCCATACACAGCAGGGTAAATAAAAAGGTCCTAGGTAAGATTAAGGACGAGTGTGCTGGCACGCCCATAGCCGAGTACATAGGTTTGAGGCCTAAGATGTACTCCATACTGAAGGCCGACAATGGTGAGATCTGGAAGGAGAAGGGTGTTAAAAAGTACGTGGTGAAACAACGCATCAAACACGCCAGATTCAAGGAAGCCCTGTTCAAGACCCGTACCTTCAGGCATAAAATGAACACGCTTAGAAGTGATGGGCATAGGATATACGGACTGACTATAAACAAGAAGTCCCTGTCGCCGATGGACACTAAACGTTGGATAGCTATTGATGGGATCAACACGTACGCGTACGGGCATGAGAAAATTGAACCAAGAACATAGGTGTACATAGGCAATGATGTCACGGAACATCGCCGTACATAAGCTGGCTAAAATGGCGCGAGTACCCCCAAACGAAGCCAAAGCGTGGCTTGAAAAACAAGCCCTGTGGCAGATCTATTTACCGGCACCACACTACGTGCCTAGAAGGAAGTTCGGCATTAACATACCCAATAGCGTTCAAAGGGTGACCTCCTATTCTTACCCCACGATAAGAGGTACAAGTATGCCTTAACTGTCGTGGACGTGGCCAGTCGCTACAAGGAAGCCGAACCCATGACCTCAAAAGACTCGGTCCAGGTAGCCCGCGGATTCGAACGTATATACAAACGCAGTCCGCTGACGTGGCCTACAGAGCTGCAAGTTGACCCCGGGCGGGAGTTCATTGGTGTCGTGTCACACCTGCTGGATAAACACGACACCAAGGTCAGGCGTGGCAGGGTCGGAGCCCATCGCAGCCAAGCCATAGTTGAGAGATTCAATAGGACTTTGGCTGAGCGCTTATTCAGACATCAGTATGCGAGAGAGATGACCAACCCGGGGAAACGATCGACTGAATGGGTAGCGCGGCTACCTCAGGTGGTGTCGGCCATCAACCATGACGCCACTCGGCTCACCGGCAAGAAACCGGCAGACGCTATCAAACTAAAATCAATAGTGGCAGAGTCGGCTGCACCATTGCGTGGGAAGGAGAAACAAATACCAGATAGGTCCCTCTTGAGGTACCTATACCTGCCGGGGGAACACGAGGGTGATAGCCGTAAGCGAGCCACCGATCCGATATGGTCAGTCAAAACTTACAACATAGATAAAGTGGACATCAAAGCCGACGAGCCTAACTTGTACTACTTGAGAGATGGGCCAGGTAGACGGTTCGTTAGAGAGGAATTATTGATCATACCGTACGGCACAATGTTACCTCCTGTCAACGTGGCATAGCGGCACAGTAGTGCCACGTGTGGGCTGGAAGCTAACTGGGGGCTCAAAAGTAGTAGATATACTGGGGCGGGATCTAAGGGCCTGACAAAAGCTTTATTTGTGAAATAAGGCTTTGCAGAGGGTTTTGTTGGACTTGATCTCATACCCCCATTATATATATTACTCAAATTGATTAGTGATAGAATGCACAAGGTCTTAAAAATGGGACAACAACTGAGATCGAAAGTAGATAAGGACATAGATACTCAAAATAAGTTTCCTCTTGTAACGACCTTCAACCCTAATCATGATAACCACATGTCTATTGTCAAACGCCATCTTTTTATTTTAAGTCCAAGTCAAAAAAATGAAAACGATTTTGAGTAAATCTAAGTTTAGTTAAGGTTTTTGAATCAGTGGGTTATTGGTGGTTACATCAAATCACGTGACAGTTTAGTTCATAATTCTTTGCCAAACTGCCTTGACTGGCTCAAAGTTCAGGTTCATATGAAGTTGGAGCCCTTGGGAATGCCCACTCGTTGTCTTAATATCATAGCTCCGGAATTATACATGGATGTCATCAAGGAAAACGTCCGGTGCAATATGTTATTAGTGTTTTCTCAGAAAACTTCAGGAATTTGCTATCACTTTTGAGGAATCGCCCTGCACCTTTGAAACTACATGTTAAGATGTACATTTTTTAGTGACAAAAGACCGATGGGTCAAGGAATGATGTGTTTCCTTCATGTGTCAATGCGACAGTGATGATCTTTTGGACAGAATTGAACTTCTTTTCTGTGATTGTGAAAAGTCAAACAAATCATGTGATTTTAAGAGATTTCTAATGGTACTACGTACGAAAAAATATCCAGTCTTGACTTTCCACTGAAACAATACTTTTGACGTAAATCGAAAAAAGCTGTGAAAATCAGCGATGACTCAACGAACTATACATACTCTATGGTCACATATATAAAAGATGATGAAGTTGAAATAAGTTTGGCAAAGTACGTTTTGAGCAGGCACATTCTGTATCTCCTTCTTCAGGCTGTTTATTTATGCAGTAACTGACACACTCTGTAGGAATATGACATCACATAGGAACTTATGACGACATAATGCGTTTAGCAGCAATAGCATACTATTATGTACACAAAATCATGTTTTGCCATTCAATTTGGCGCATATTTAAGAAATACATATCGCTCTACCACCATGTATCTTGATTAAAAAGCAAACTTTCGCCCTGAACTATTATACTTAAAGCATGAGGACGCTTGCAACTGCCTAGTGAAGCAACTGCAAACCAAGAAACAGGATGCAACGGGGTAGTTTACAGTAGGAGGCTGCAAAAAGTGTACATTGTCGTCTGGTAATGTACTGTCGGTGCCTATGATCCTTTACCGAAGCATATTACAATTATGAATAAAATATGATTCTTTCAAGAGTAAAACATGCACCGAGAAAACCTTGAACTTGTCATTACCACACTTATCTAAGTGTTCACTGAGAGGAATAGTGCGATTTCGGGATTGTTCATTTTTTAATTTTTGTTCTGTTTTCCCGATATACTTCTCATTACATCCAGAACATATAATGACATAAGTAGCATTTCTAGTGTCACAATTAATGTCACAATTGTTTAACAACAAATATCTCACTGGGTGTAATGTTAATTGAACTGTCTTCAATTATAATTTCACAAGTATGACAACGAGAATCTCCACATTTAGAGACATCAGTTGAGACATCAATATTTTTGAGTAGATTGTTGGGTTGCTTACGGCTGTTAACAAAAATAATGAAGACCCCGTCCGATCTGTTTCATACTAAATGCAGAAAAATTCTCCACAAGCGGGTTGACCTAAACTTGCTCAAAGTAAAATTTCCTTTTATGTCGAGCATTACTCTTGCAAGTACAAGGTTTCATGTCTACATTTCACTACTTTTTTATGGTAGATATGTGTAGAGACCTAGCAAATTTGTCGAAGCAATGACAAAATGGAACACGCAATTCCCAATGTTGTATCATTTTTTCAGGTGAACAGTCAATCAATCACAGGTAACAATAATTGACATGTTGGTTCAAGATCATGTATACAGGAATACATGACAAGCAGCTCTGTTTTAGGGGGGAAAGGGGCCGTATTCAGAGCAGAGTGACGACACAGACGTATTAGGATTGGAAAAAGCTGAACAAAGACCAAACGATCAGTCCATACCATAGATTTCAACCTCGCAGAGACTCAGAAGTATTCCGGCTCAGTGTAATGGTGAAGTATCGCCCCCTACCATCACAGATCACATCGTACACAGAGTTGCCTGTTGCAATGTTGTTGGGGAAGGTGTAGCAACGTACGCCAGATGTGGAGCGGCTGGAGTTACTCGGAGAGAGGACAGCGGTTTCCATTCCCCAAGGACCTAAAATGATGATCCATGAATGACAATATAAAACGTATTGCATGAGGGTCAAATGATATCCTGAACAACATTAGAAACGCACCACCCATATAATACGAAATAACCCCGGCCAGACTGAAATGTACCCATGATATCTGAGCATCGTCGGTTCATGTTAGTGCGGTGCGTATCTAATGTTGTTCAGTATACTTTAAACCTTATTTTGTTCTTTCGTACCTGCGAGGTTCAGTTCAGAGGAGACTAACCACCCTGATTATATTGCATTCGAACTGGATGGAATAATCAGCCAATCAACAGCAGAGAACCCCATATGGAACATGTATGGATTTAAGATGATTCACATTGTCAGCAGATGGTCAGCAGAGAACCCCATTCACCCCTACGCATGGAACATGTATGGATTTAAGGATGATCCCATGCTCATTTCCAGAAACCAGCGTTCTGTAACCGTTACGTTTAAAGTATATACTGAATGGCCATGAAAAGAATATTAGCTGGGAGTGAGTGCCACGATTTCACGCCGTTTTAAGAAATATTCCATTATTATCAAGGACACATTTCATCCATATGAGAAACGACTCTGGGTCTTAACGAACGAACGATTTAAATGCAGGGTCAACGCCCGTAATTTTAAATAAAGTGAAGTAAATCTTATATCGCATGTACATACATCCTGGATACACGTATATTCTGACGTCGTGTATCCTGTAGTGCTGTCCCAGGTCCACCGTCAAAACACTTGGTGGACGTTTGTAGTGGAAGCAGGAGTCCCGGTTCCCATCCACAGCTTTGCTTGCAGACCGGTAAGTTTTGTCTCCAGGTTCAGAAACGGCACGTTTCCCGTAGGCAACGTTTTCTGTTGGAAAACAAAACATCACATTTACTCCAAATATTGACAAAATGTAAATGCTATTGTCATGATTTGCACTTAAGTGTTGCCTGATTTCCAAAATTTCCTGGAACAGAAACTACAACATGCTAACACAGCACCGTGTTACAGGAGATGTTTAATGGTAATATAAGAATGATATATTTAACCGAGTGCTTTACAATCAGACCCTTGAATGAAAAATTCCTTATCTGAATGATGACGATAATCTCTTATTTATGCTATCTCTATTGGTGTGTTATATATTTTGCAAGAAAACAATTCGTTTGTGAGATAAAATTATGTACTTGCATAACATATATCAATGTGCGCTCAGTTTAAAATATACGCCTTAATTTGAAGATGATGTACTACTGGCCTTTTGCCAAACATAAGACTAACTTCTCTTTCAGGTCGGAATATGTTTCACATGATCGAATGCTGGAGTGAGTGAGTCACATCGGCGATATTTCAGCCATATTGTGACTAAAACTTGCTCTAGATTCATAATACATACATATAATATATAAAACCCTGTCAACAAAGGACAGTCAAATTACCAGATTATCACAAAATGAGGTAAGAAGGTTAGCATATATCTTTGATAAAAGTAGAAAACTATTTTTGGACAATACAGTGTAAAAATGGGCTATAGATCACCAGCAACTGAAGGTAGATCACCATACACCATGGATAATATAAGTAGTAATGAGATAAAGATTACATATGTGGTGATTCGGGTCCAGCAGTCCCCCACAAGGTCTCAGAGTATATATATAGGTAAAATTGTATTTACTGAGAAATTGTACATGTTGGATATTGTTATTGAAACAGTGTGCCTAATATTTAGAAAACATGACTTTATTCTTTCCAATTGATGAGTATTTGTTGTACCTTTTTGACAAGTTCCTCCGTGTCCTCCCACCCAGCCTTTATCACAGCCATCTCCACAAACTCCAGTTGTCTGGTTACATGAGTGTCCGCAGTGGCAGGAGTAGTTACACGAATCTCCCAAACCTCCCTGCTGGACAGGACCCTGAGAAGAGGCATAAAGGCAATATAAGCGTGAAAAAGAGGAGAGACGACTCCATTCATGGTCAATAAGTGTTTTTCTACAATGTTATACAATATTTCAAACCAGATTAGGGTTCAATTAAATGGATTTATGGTCCGGACTTGGACGCAAATAGATTATTTGTCCATTATTGAACGATATGTGATCACTAAGATACCTCAACCTCATTATGATATGTCAAACCTCCGATTGTGTCTGCAGAATTTTGTACAGATTCTAATACTTTTGTACCCAGCCACCACAAAAATGGAAGTCGGACAACTGGTTCCAAAATATTCACTCTGCTCAGAAAGTGTACACCTAAATACAATTATTTGCTTGTCGCCTGACGTTGCAGCAAACAAACTTACCTTCATACAACCAAACCATGAATTATTCACACTCAGGAAGTCAAATTTAACAATCTCGTGTTGAGGAACAGTGGATATATTTTGAAAAAGTCACTTTTAAAAAATATAGTATCATGTATCGTATTGCTATTAATTAGTGACAGGTGGTCTATAGCTCCTATTTTATTGGTATTACATGTAATATTGATCTTTGTGTTGAATAAAGTCTTTTATCAATTGAAATGGTTAGTTTTTAGATTCAAATTGTGATAACTTGCTAGTGTTTTACTATCCTTTGCGACAGATATTTCTCGTCACTATATTGCTGAAACGTTGCCGATGTGACGTAAAACTTAACTCACTCACTCACTCACTCAATTAGTGACAGAGAGTTGAAATCTCACAGGAAATTCAGTTTTAGTGGGTTTCCGATCTGACTGTGAAAACATGACGTTCAAATGCTTAAACATCGCAACCACTATAACTGGTTCTGTTCTTGACATTTGATCAAAAACAATCTTGACAGTGGTGTTACAAAAAATGTACACAGTGCAAGAAGAATACATACCACATTTGTAATTAGTAATTGAGTAAACTATCAACTCACCAAATATAACCTGTATCCAAAACTCTCCCACGACTGTTAATACAAGCAGTGTCTTCCCAACCGCCATTTTGACAACAAAGAAGTGAAATTCCTCGAGAGAGAGCCAGGTGTGTGAGGTAAAAGGTATTACATTTCCAAGGTAAAATCTCTGTGAACAGCGTTTATCGACACCCTTCCGGATCCATTATTAAGTCAATAATGTATCACGATATGCTAATCCAGTTAAACCAGGATGTATGTGGTTCAAGCGACATCCCAGGAGATGTCATGGATTACGATGTTCCTATACATAGCAGAATAATTACAAAGCTATAAACTGTCGTGATGTACAACCTTAAGCTATATTTACCGACAACTGTGTCCAGTAAATTGAAATGGATGCAGAGTTAACCATAGTAAATGTTATGAAAAGCACGGTAACCTACTGTAGGTGCACACCATTGATGTTAGCCGAAACATACAACTTTGTAAACATTTCCACGGGTGCTTAAATTTGTTCAAGGCATAATGTCCTAGTACGTGATGTAGGTGTTCATATTCACACGGAAAATGTAAAGATGTTATCTGTTTGATCTGTGATAACGTCCTCCTTCTCGCCAGCAGGAAGTTGTGACGGGAAGGTATTGATCAGGAAACAAATCACCAGACCAAGATGAATACAACAATAATAGCTTGTCCTAGTCACGACTGACCCAGTGCTGTCGGCAAAGTGAGTGTATTTGTAAATGATTGTTTCTGACATAAACCACGTATAAAGTAGTGAGTGGGTTTAGTTTTACGCCGCTTTCAGCAAAATTCCAGTAATATCATGGCGGGGGACACCAAAAATATGTTTCACACATTGTACCTATGTGGGAAATTGAACCCGGGTATTCGCTTCGGCGTGACGAGTGAGCGCTTTAACCATAAACGGAAGTAGTGAGTGAGTGAGTTAAAACTGAACGTCACATCGGCAATATTGCAGCCATATCGTGAGGATTTGAATAATATATAAAGTCGTAATAACTAACTTTAAATTATGAAACCCTGTCAACGAAGGACAGTAAATTAGCTAGAGGATAACAGACATAGATATAAAACTAGTTCGAAAAGCTAAAACTTTCAACTAGAGAACACAATACAATATAAAAATAGGCTACATATTGCCAACAACTGAAGGTAGATCACCATACTAGGGACAAACGGAAGTAGAAATATATAACATAAGTAAGCATATTCTCAGTCTTTCACAAAATGTTTGATGTGTAATTGGCGCAAATATGGCAATATTTCATACATTTCACAAATAATGTGTATTATCAAGGCATATGTACACTACATTCATACATTTCACAAATTATGTGTATTATCAAGGCATATGTACAGTACATTCATACATTTCACAAATAATGTGTATTATCAAGGCATATGTACACTACATTCATACACTTCACAAATAATGTGTATTATCAAGGCATATGTACACTACATTCATACACTTCACAAATAATGTGTATTATCAAGGCATATGTACAGTACATTCATACATTTCAGGTATGAATACAGTGTACGCCAACCAGTCTTACGTCACTACCAGTGCAAAATACCTCGTCTTCTTGACTTAAACCTGTATTACCGCCCGCCGTATCCTTAACTCTGTCAAACACCATATAAATCTAACTTTGACCTGTGCGTTCGACATTTCGGAATGACACTTTTTAGGATGTCTTTTATGCATTGTTGAATTATCCTGAACACTCTATTTGTTTAATGGAAGATATAGAGTACTGATATATGCTCACTATATGTTATCATAGTTGACAAATGAACACAGATAATTAACTAGTAATTGACTTGGTTTAGCTGCATCACACCGCATCCTGCACTAACTCCATCACAACAGTGAAATAGACTTACTACAGTTTGAAATCACCGGACCGACAATTTTTATCCCATTTAAATACCAGCAAATTCAACGTGTAACAAACATCGCTTGAATGATTCACAGCAAAATCATTTTTCCATGCAATATTTAAGCTTGATAATAACGTTTCATGAATGTCGAAGATGCTGTACATCTGTATCAAAGGTGGAAATCAAAAAGATCCAAAACGCATTATATGTTATCCCTATTGTTTCCAGATGGTAAAGTAACAATATCGCTTATTAAAAGGGCACAAAGGATCAGATGTCATGGTGAAGGGCGTTGTCATCTTAAAGGAAATCCTTAAAAAATAACATTTAAAAAGGCGGATGGTGGAAAACGCGCTGTGGGATCTCAATTGAATCCTTAGTTCCGGATAGAGGCTTCAGTGTAAAGTAGTTCCGCTTCAGGTCAAAAGCGACATCCCTGTAACGATTTTTAAGTCATCTCACAAAATGCTGTGTCTATCAGGATGGGAAATTTACGTGCTTGTAAAACATAAACAATATTGCAATCACTGCTACAATGTGATCACACTATATTCATGCAGAATGTATGATATTATGCATATTTATGACAGCCTTGACCCCGATGAAGTGGGTGAGTGGGTTAACATTAAGCCGCACATTGACAAAATCGAAACAGTCAAGTACCAGTTCGTGTAACTGATAGTTGGTTGTCCACTTCTTTGTGTAACCTTCAAGTACAGGTTAGTACTCACTTTAAGGCATCAGAAGCGGTGTCACAGATGTGTTAACTGCTGCTTTGGCTGCAGAAGCGGCCATTAGTTCCACTGTGGCTGGGCAACTGACACAAGACGATGTCGTATTGATCAGAAGCATGTTCACAGTGCAATTCGATATTTTCAGTTATAAGTGGATTTGCACACGACATGCTATTTAGGGGATAACTGTACTGTGTTTGACGAATTGGGGACGTATACCGGTGGTTATATATACGCAACTTTAGTTATATGGGCTATATAACCACCGCTATACGCCCCCAATTCGTCAAACACAGTACAGTTATGCCCATTCTATTTCAGCTCGTTTTACGCTGGGTTTTTTCGTGAAGGAAATTCATTATTTAAACCAGGTCAAAGTTCCTCTTGGTCAAAGGTTAATCAAATCACTCCTTGAACTTACACTATCGCCAGAAAAAACTATGTTCTCAAGCTGCAACATATTTATTATGTGCACACTGACTAAATCTGACAATGATGAATAAATCATAGTGTTATAGTTAAACTGGACGGAATTGTCATGAAACCGCCCTCTAGTTATCAGAAATGAGCGGGCCTCTGCAAATGATAATGGCCCGCTGATACCTCAACGACTGGCAGTTCACACACCGGCGCAATGATGACTTAGCATAACATCACGCTGGCTTGCCGCATGGAACTCTGGGTAGGAGAGTGTTATCAGTTCTGTTGTCAAATGACGTCAAAGCAGGTGACGTCACGTTTCATAATGACGTCATAAATCTTGTTTCATGATCTAACAGTGTTATATAGATTTGTAAGTGCCATACGTGCTCTTCCATTGATATATACTTGTTTATATTTTGCTGAGTTTTGTCAGATTTCTTGAATTTAGCAACGGTAAGATCTACCTGTGGTCGTATTAACTTGCTTGGGGGAAACGAAAGAAAGAATGCAGAAAATATATTTTCAAGGTCATTATTAACAGCGTATAAGGAAAGGTATAATTATTATCTTAGAGACGGAATGAGAGAAGACTTATGTTTGTAAACATCCTCAGAAAGAGGTGCAAACGGTTGGGCTCATTAGTGCATAGCTTGTGATGCATTGTTGTGATAATACAGATCTTTAGGCTTGATCTTGTTGTTACCTAGACACTCCATAGCAAGGTTTTGAGTCTAAAGCCGCACAGTACACTAGATATCACTTTTTCCGCCAGAGTGGCACACGAGCCATCGCCTTCTGGACACAGTAACACACGACTTGGCCGAACTGAAAGAAATTATGTAAACAACATTTAGTGGTACAAGGTTTGGCGTGTAGCACCGGCGGGTCCACTCCAACGCACGTCACGGTGGAGTAAATATTGAAGTAGTGTTTTGTGCGAAGGAATTGCAGTTCTGCAACCAGCGCTCTCAACCACCAGGTTCCCGACCTCCTCCGACACAGGCCCATCCTGCAGCAAACACGTTGTGCAATTTAGTCGCCTCTTGCGATAAGCAGTGGGATGCCGGTGACCAAGTCTACCCCGAGTACGCACGGGATGTGAGCTATTAGCGTTACCAAGCACTCACCGCGAGAAGTGAGTAAGTGAGTGAGTTTAGTGTTACGCCGCACACAGCAATATTCCAGCTACATGTCTGTAAATAATCGAGTTTGGACCAGACAATCCAGTGATCAACGACATGAGCATCGATCTGCGCAATTGGGAACCGAACCGATGACATGTGTCAACCAAGTCAGCGAGTCTGACCACCCGATCCCGTTAGTCGCCTCTTACGATAAGCATAGTCGCCTTTTGTGGCAAGCATGGGTTGCTGAAGACCTATTCTACCCCGGATCTTCACGGGTCCCGCGAGAAGTGACTCGGATGAATAAGACATCAAATATCACTTGATATGTTCAAATATGTTTATGATCTGTTTGTATACATAAAACAATATATATGCATGGAAAAATTATCATATCATCCTATCATTTTTAACACCCATTGATATTTATTTAATAATTATGTTTGTATGATTATTGTAGTCATTCGGGCGCATCATACATTGATTTCAGATATGCACGTGGTACGACGGGCATTACGAGCAAATAAAAGCAAAAAGAACAATATACCATGTGAAATACCTGTGATATACCATTGAAATACATGTAATATTTTTGAAAACTAAGTATTCCTATATTAGCATGCTTTGCTTATGGAATGGCAATCTAACTGGGTGATGTAATCAGTTACATAAAAAAATGTGACTGTTTTTCAGCCATTTTGATATTTCTTTGTCCTTTATCACCAACGTTCTGAAAATAAAACACAAGGTGACATTAATCACGTGTACACTTGGTACTTCTACAAATATGTGCCAGAGCAGTAATGTTAAGAATGCCAACCAAACACGAAGTCACATCACAGATCCTGCGTTAAAACATGGAGTTGTGTTATTTGTTAGTATGATATTAGTTTATTCAAAACGACAAACTGCTGTCACGTAGCTATAAATTATAAGCCGTTGACAAGGAAGCTGTAGAAACTTTCCTTATACATTATAATATCGTGTATAATGTGATTGTGGAAGCTAGACAAAAGTGAGGGACAACATACAACACCCGCATTTACAAAGAGTATGTCTGTCTCACAAAACAAAGGTTAAACAAAACCACTACTGTGAACTTATACAGTGGCATATGTATGTCACGATCATTAACGCATTAATTCAGTCTCTGAAAAGGAACAATATTGAGTGAATTATCTTCCCGTATACATGATTTAATCATCCTACTGACATTTCAATACAAACACAATACAAGTGACTTTGAAATGACTAAAATCTCCGTCTAAAATATTATAAAAGTGTAAAAACTGACTTCCCGGGTAAAAAAATTCAATATTCCAGCTATATGGCGGTCTGTAAATAATCGAGTCTGGACCAGACAATCCAGTGATCAACAGCTTGAGCATCGATCTGTGCAACTGGGAACCGATGGCATATGTCAACCACGTCAGCGAGCCTGACCGCCCGATCCCGTTAGTCGCCTCTTACGACGAGCATGGGTTTTGAAAATCATTTCTAACCCACGGGTGGTATACTTTACTAAGTCATTGCAATTACAAATATACCCTGTGTTACATTAGACCATTTGTTTTAAATGGCATCATATATTCATAGCATGAAATTGGTCCAATGGTCGGAAGCATACCTCCACGAATTCTTGCATGTCGAATTTAACCCCTGAAATCTTAAATAATCTATTTCGGCACCATCTCATTTCACCAACCATTAGAACCCTGTATCTCCCATCGAGTACTTTTCAGGAGCGTTATTGCGTTTTTCAAGTAAGTCGTTAAACGAAGTGAAGCATTTTTGGGACAGGCTCATGGAAACTGTTGTAACTCAAACTGACTATCTGTTGTGGAGGAGGTCGAGACAATGTTGTATTTCTTTTTAAAAAGCAACATTGAACATATGTTGTTGTTTTTCATACATTACAGAAAGGCCTAAAGAACAGTCACTATGAGGACCAAGACAAGTGTTATCATGGCGGTTGTGCTTACATTTGCCTGCTTGTGGCAAATGGGTGACGCCGAGCCAGGTGAGCTCGATTTAATTCTGTACGAAACGTGTTCATGTGTAAATTGAAGAAATACATTCCGTCGGTCGATGCATGTATAACCATGAACCTAATGCCTAAAGCATTAAGCATGGGTTACTGAAGATCAATATTCTAACCCGGACCTTCACGGATAACACATGGTATGAACATTGTCATAACACATTGTCTGGTAAATGCGAAATCAGCACTTTCAAGCCAAATGTGCTTGACAGTAATAGGAGTATTCCAAGGGATACAAAAGGGTGGATCCTCACATGTTGATAAAATTGAATGTCTATAATTAATAGATAGACCAGAGTGGGTGTGATACCTTAAAATTTCAATTGCGAACAGATGATCCAGTTCTCGATTATATATTTCCTGTAAACATGATAACAATCAGAAAATATACCACTAAAAACGAAGGGGATATTACATATTGGGGAGATATTATTTGAGAACCAAGATGTATTATTAAACATAAATGGATTGACAAAAAAAAATGCTTTTTCCATTCACAACATTTTATGAATTTCGTCAACACGCCTGTTTCGTGCAAGCGTTTTTCATGATGTGCAGAGAACATGATTGATGTGAAACTGGATATTTACAGAGAAACGTTTCAGTGTGCTGCTGTATATTTCAGTGATAAAAATCAGATTCAAAGTTGTTCTGGGATTGCTTTAAATACAATTACACGCTCTTTCTACTTTCGGCGTCTGTCAAGTCTGGAACTTCGTTTTCTGGAGACCATTTATGTCTTTGACTCGGACAAAGTTGTAACTGTCCCTCAATTATAGTCATAAAGTCACCTTGGAATGATATGTTGAAATCATCAAGAAATAACATCATCATCTAATTACATATCTTATTAGAACAGCACCTGCACCTTTTTTAACACGTCAGCAATACCTTGCATTTCTTTCTCTAATAATATTGGAGAACAAGAAACCAAGGTTTTCTCACTTGGGGCAGGTTCGGTTTCACTATGATACAGACTGGTTATTATATCTTCATTATCAATTGTATCATCTGTATGATTTTGAATTTTGGGTTTTGAGCAGCCATTGTGGTACGAGTATAGTGTGTGTCTCACCCTCCTGGCTCCCTACCCACGGTTCACCGTCAGAGTGACAAAAAGGACGATGCCACATTCGTATGATTGTGGGGCGCTTCCAACAGTATATTCACTGTCGACTGAGAGTGTGGCATGTGCTGAAAATCAGATATAACGGTTACCGCTTAACCATGTTACTTTTAACAGGCACCAAACAGAGGCAAAGTAAAACATACGAAGCTGAAACAATGTGTTCCATGCTGAATCGTTGACAAAACAGTCTGTAGAGGAATTAATTATGTTTTCTTACATTAATTATGTTATATTTGATCCTCCAACCTCTTAAAAGCTATGAGGCTGAAATTACAGGTGAGTCTGAGACTACAGTCTTAGTCTTCATGAACACAGAACATTTGACTGAAATGTGACCACTGGTTTCTGTTTTATAGTCAGTAAGAATATCTGAACTTTATCCAGCTTGAGCTTCGTTCAGGGTAACACGTGTAAAGCGAACATATGTATTTGTTAGAGTCTCCATTTAAGCTTTCTTCTGGCCACACATGTTAATGATGGCGGCAATCATGTGCATCATATCTGCAAACATACAAAGAACGAATGGTAACATGACACAAGAAATTGCAAGATAGCCGATACTCCTTGATGATGTCCTTCTGTCTGGTGCGCTGGTCTTCTTGCTGATAGAGCTGGTAAGATTGGTTGTTTTCACCTGTAACTTCTGTTGGAGATGTGCCTTCTGCTCAGAAACAGCTTCAGATGTCAGTACGTCAAGCCGGTTTTTCGGTTTACAGAAACATGTGCATTTCTCTCTCACTGTTCTCATTGGTTGTCCATTGCGGTCCAGCTGAACTGTGGGTGCCGCTGAAGTTGTAGTTGTGGTGACTGAGAATGTAGAAGACGTGGTAGTGGTCGTTGCTAGAGATGTATCCGGAGTGGAGGCAGTGTCAGTGCTGACGGGAGTGGACTTGTGGGAGTAGCCCATGGTTGAAGCTGTCAATGATGTAGGAGACGAAGACATTGTATAATTAATAACAGCAGTAGTCGACGTTGTTGAGGTTATAGCAGATTCTGACGTGGGAGTGGATGATGTTGTTGTCGAAACAGACGCAAATGTAGACGATACTGTAGGTGGAGGATATTGAGCAGTTGAATTGGAAAGTCCAGAAACTGTAGATACTGCTGTAAAAGTGATTGGTGTGTTGGTGCTTGATGTACTCTCGAGGGCAAGATCTGTTGTGTAAGAAATAGAAAATATTTGTTTAAAAGTGCATTATGATATACATTTAGATGAGGCCAGCATGCTAGCAGATTGCAAATGATTACATGTTACGAATTGTTATGTCTGTTACTTCTATGACAAAAGGTATATGAATATATGAATAGCATATATATAAGAACAGTGATGGCGTTAAGCTGGAGGCCTGGGTTCAGTTCCTGACATGGATGTTCCATTCCACATGGCCCCATGGAATGTCGTTATAGGTGACTAGTCCCATGTATATCATTCACCCATTTAACTAGTTGAACACACTTTAACAAGTTGAACATACGTCATAATTCACAGAGTAATTACCGTTTCTAAAGCCACCAGAATATCCCATTCCAATGTAAGCACCAGATCTGATGTATAAGAGTCCAAATGGCGTTGAGCCCTGTAAGTCTATCAACGAGACACCATTAGTCTTATATTGCCATATATTATATCCGCATGCTGATTCTGATACTTCTTTAACCAGTCCTTTGTCTGAGGCAGTGGACGCGATGCTTGGATCGGTACTGACAAGAATAATCCTTGCATACGTCCTAAATGCTATAGGGTTTTCTTTTGTATCCACTAGATATGAAGTCATGAAATGATCTGTTGACTGAACAATGGCCATGAGATATTCAAAGGACGAAGCATATGTGTTAAATGCCACCACAAGTACAGTCTCACTGGAATTGAAGCAGGCTGCACCAGACACTTCCATGTCCAGATACTCCCCGACATGAATGGTACCTTTAGATTGGCCTGCCAGTTCAATGTTGGTATTTCTATGCGCACCAACAACCCGATACATCAATTTGAGCCTTGGAGCTAATTTGTACAGTATGTAACTCTTTCCGTACATGGCAACAGATATCAACATTTCAGCAACTGGCTCTCCATTGCTGGAAACGCCATGGCAACCAGAAATCACAGCCACAGGTTTTGAACTTCTTATGTATGTGCCAGTAAAATCTTCGCTGCAAAACAGACCGAAAACATCCATTATGTTGAGAGTAAGTTTGATATCCTGCCCACTGTTGTAGTTAGAGCCCGAGCATAAACTACCAGATGTCCTCACTGTTATGTTGATATTGGTGTCATCATCAGATGCTATTATCATGAGTTTGGAATACTCAAAAGGTGAGGGACATGACACTGCGACGTATTCTACTGACAGTTGACTCAGTGGTAGTACCAGGTATGACTCGCCGCTCAATCTGTCTTGCATATTCACAGCAGACACGGATATACCATCAGTAGATGTTATTCTGAAACCTTTTCGGGCTATTGAATTGTTCTTCACGTCAAAACAGTGTTCGGGATTCAGATCAAATGTCGTTGATAATTCACTGCCAATGGTAAGGTTAGTGAATGTATGAACTGGAGCGGGACTCTCTACTTGTACAACTGTTCCTTCTTTGCCTGTGAAATGTAGTGACGCTTTGCATGTATTCTGGTGAAGGAACACAGCCACAATAAAGTCTTCTCCATTGTTGTTTTCTGATGATAACGTATATCCTGCAACATAGGTAATAATAATATTGTCGGTTTGACTGGCTCGTCTTGTATATTTAGGTCAATAAACCACACTTACCTTTTTTCCAGTTATTTCGATTTATTTTATTATATGCTTGCGTTTCGCGTAATGTTACTTTTGGAGACATTATTTTAGCATAACCAAAGGATAAAAATTAACACAGGGCACCATGTTATTTACAAAGATGAAATGTATTGTGCATGCAAATGAAACTTTATTTAACATAAAGGAGTTTTACAACACGTTAATGTGTGTTTCTATGTATACTTTCACACATGTCAGAGTTCGTTCTCGTGTATGTGTGTGTGTGCGTGCGTGCGTGCGTGCGTGCGTGCGTGCGTGCGTGAAAGATACAGAGGGGAGGGGGGTCACACATCAGTGGTCATTCTCATTAGCTGTCATCAATACTTGTGTTACAGTCAGGGCTCACAGAAAACCTATACACGAGGGAAGAAGGGATCAAATGTACCATGTATGGCTGAAGACAATTCCGTCCTCAAACAACCAGGACGTCTGTTTCAACATGTCATACATCGATAAGGTAGTGGCCTAAGAATTACTTCGCGCGGAACTAATTATATCAGGTAGGACAGAGAGTGCTTCTTTCAGAGTCAATACACTATTGACTTTAATTTGATAAACTGTTTCAGAAATCAGTACAAAAATCATAATATTTGCAAAACGCAAATAAAAACATTGGATCAAAAGTAACATTTTAACGGATAGTTAATTATGTTATTTTGATAGTGAATTAACTGCAGGCTTACACAGAAACATTTTCTTCACATTTTTATCACCACACAATGTAATTACAGTGTAATTAGATACTGTTATGTTGTTTCAGATCAATATGTTGTACACATGCAATTAAAGGTTATGACTCCTGTCATCCAAATCTGATTAATTATTGAAGATATTTATTAAACAGGGAGACTTGGTGATTTCTGATGCAAATCTAATAGCTGGTGATGCGGAGATTTCGCCAAGATTGAAAGATATCGGACAATTATTTGTATCGGCTTCATACGCTTCACTAATAGAACTGACGTGTGTTAAGTTTTGCTAATTAGAAGTTATTTAAGTACTTTTCAGAGAATTTAATAATTTGTGCCCTGGGTCAATAATGTCAATAAACCCACAAAATCGCGACAAAAATCTTTTCTCGGGAAATAAGTCAGAATGAATAGCCACACATGCAAACCTATAGTAGTCTATTAACGAAGTTGTAGCGTATTTTAATATCAGTAATATCAGGTGTTTGTTGAATAGGTGGTTAATCGTAGTAAAGGTTAACATTTATAACACAGGCGATAGCTGTAGGTTGGTGTTTTACACCGGACTCACCAATAGCCCAGTCATGTAGCTGTATATAAAATGAATAAGAACTATGTTCTTATATGAGAGTAGTGAATTCTTCTGCTCTTGACTCTTTGGCGACTGGGCAATCAAATTCACTCAGGGGAAGCATACACACATATGGGGTAACTGGTACAGGGCTATACATATGTGCACAATGGATACTGGTTCTGTATTGAACGCTGACATATCACCGAAATGGGCATAATCGCAACAACAGAGAAGGTTAAAGTATGTTGCCCATTTCTCTATATATGCCCGTCATACTGATTCACTGATACTCAGATTCACTGAGCTCTTGAAATTGTAACAACATAGCAAGAGTCGCATGACGCTCTTTATGATCTTCGTAGAAAAAGCACGGGCGATTGTATTTCCAAAGCTGACTATTGAAAACTTGAAGTTATCCGTCTTGCCATATCGGCTTTTTACTTCAATTCTACTTCAAATTTAATACCATCTGGAATATTATGAAAGTTCAAGGACTATTTATTGAAAATGGGATTTGTGATACATTAACTGAACTCACTAATAATTTTCTCTTGGTAAAATATGTATGAAACAGTACATAAGGGTAATGTACATGTTTTCAGGTTACACTCCCAGAGAACATATGAACTGTTTGAGAGGCATTCTAGAAGTTGTAAGTGATAGGAATGACAAGTCTTTGTGGATGACCAATTTCCTATTGTACAAGGGCGACGATTCGGTATAGATACTTCTCTTATACAGAAAACACTTGTTGGACATAATCGGGAGATATGTGCGCCAATGTCAAAGGACATTTGCTAAGTTAGCCAGTAGGGTTTGACAAGATCACCCGGATTGTCCCTGGGAGATTTATTTGGACTATGACATAACGAAGAAGGTTTGGGGACAATCATAGGACAAGACCAGTTATTGATCAAGAAATGTGAAACGTATATTTGGCTTTTTGACATATCCCTGTAGTCTTTCATGTTTGTTTGCGCCAGTCACCGAAATCTGTTCTTGTCATGTTACCCCAAGACCTTCCTTCGTCTTATCCATCGAGCACTATCGAGCACCATCGAGCACTTAACATCTCGTTAATTTCAGTAATTATGTCTTAAATACATACGTCGTGTGGTTTTGTTTGGAGACTATTCGTAATGAAAGAATATGAAACAAAACTTTAATTATCCTGAACCCGCTTCACAAGTAAACAACTGGTCGTTTGAATGTCCCCAAGTACCTACTGACAAAAAGTCAATGTTTTTCCCTTCTGTCTTATAAACTGATTTGATATAATACACGGGTTCTAGGTTCTACCAAATATGTACTCTACATATGAACCATATCTATTCAAAATCTGTTTACGTTGAGTCAACATACCTTTCCTTGCACATGACACGACGACGAAAAGAACCCAAGCCTGAAACACAATAAATCCATTTCAATGTAACGTTTGATTAGATGTGCTACAGATATGTATTTTTCAACATGTTATTCTATTCGTATATGGCAGTCCAAGATTCATAGAAAGTTAACAACGTTGCGTATGACTAGTAGTGACAACAATGACTAGTAGTCGGGAATGTAATTACTATAAGGTGTAAGCGGATGAGTGGAAGTTACTTTTTGTATATACTTTTAGAATCCAGACTCGGTCTTCTAGAACAGTATAGACTAATCACGAATTGTATGGAATATTCGGGAAGGTGTTAAGTGAGTGAGTTCTCAGCAATATTCCAGCTACATGTCGGTCTGTATATAAACCAGACAATCCGGTGATCAACAGCATGAGCATCGATCTACGCAACTGGGATACGATGACATGTGTCAACCAAGTCCGCGAGCCTGACTGCCCGATCCCGCTGCCATAAGCTGGAATATTGCTGAGTGTGGCGTAAAGCAACAAACAGATCAACCGATGAGACATTGTGATTAGTTTACAGTAATGAACAGAGACCAAGGTTATTACATCCATCCAGCTTACAAAATAGGATATTTTCAAAGGTAGATGATCACATATGAGGTTCAAATCCTGACTACAATTAGCAAATAAATGATTTTGTAGATTTCTTTTGACGATATATCACAGAATGTACAAAAATTATTTTTTTCAAATCCAAAATGAAACATGTTATCATCGAAAAGGAACAGCAAATTAAAAATAAATAATGTATGTGGCCCCATACTGAAGCGTGTGATGCTTTTTAAGAATGTCATTTACAGAGTTATCTCCCCTTAAGCGATTTTTATAGAATTACCCTTACCATCCTTTCCTTAGATAAATCACTAACCTTGAGTGACATATGCATTTTATTGATATATTTGAATTCCTTTTTTACTTTTACATAATTAACAGCCTTAAATACTGTATCATATTATATTATAGTTTCATTACAATGAACTTCAGGTGGTAAAATGACAAAAAATTGTAAATCTACGAAGAAAAACAATGTCATTACTCTACATACTGCTCTGTTAAAGATTTTATTTTGTGAAATTACACATTTATCTTTCTTTTTACATTGCAGCCAGTTTGGGTGAAATACTGAGTATTTGTGGTATTGAAATGGCATTTGAAAGAAATGCTGAGTCATCGCTTCAACGCCCCCTAGTGGGCTAAAGCCACAGCTTTGATTTGTAAGACTGCTATTTTTGGATTCGTGAGGCAATTTTACATCAGAATATATGTTCAAACCTTTTGGCCTCTCTCGGTACAAAAATCAACCCCAGGCTCTTGGACTAATCATCTAATCAAGGCCAATCAACAGTAACCCTTCCCTACTGACCTTTGTTCATCTGGTTTCATGTCCATTCTCTATAATCACAACAACTATCAGTAATGTCATCACAATCTACATGACCTGTTCATTTGGATAAACTCAAATATCATTTCATGTATATATTCTCCTTGTGCATGATGCAGTGTATCACTTGCTTAATAACGGGGTTAGCATCTACACCGAAACGTCGCATCTACTGCAATAAAGTTGTCGATTCATAAAACTTGTTCTTCATCATCATGGCAGCTTCTAAATGCCACTTTAAGGAGTTACTTTACAGTAGTTTGATTGTATTGATTTGAAAACCCCTATACTACAATTGCTTATTGTGTAACGTTTATTTTTCGTTTGTTCGTTTTATGACGAATTATAAGTACAGATTTCTAGGTTAACTAATAATCTGAAAATCGGCGTGTAACACCAAAGTAATTATGAACACGGAATGCATCTTCAGTTAATAGACAGGTACAATTAACATCTTATCTATGTAGATAATATATAATTTACTTACAAATATAAACATATTGTTACTTACCACTTTCATGATGATATGGCTTGCTTCCATCATGTTGAAATGATAGTTTTAGCTAACATACATTTGGTTTCCAAACTGATAGATTGAGAGCTCTCTACACCTCTCCTGCAAGACGATACATCGTACAAACCTGTTTCAAAAGTCAGTTTTAATGATAAACCATGAACCATGAACCATGAAATATATTGCAACATTCCGGTTCATAATAGAGTACCGTTTATAGATTTGCTTTCACTTTGGCTTCGTAATTTAGACATATTCCGTTTGAAGGCTCAATCGATGAACGCCTGTCACTGAAATAATTAACATACACTTACAAGTTGGTAGAGCATAAATAATGAAGTGGTAATGTACACTGAACAATTATGTTGAAAATGGGTCGTACAAGGTAGTTAATGGGAATACCATAATGGCTAGGTCTAACCAGACGCCTCCGTCCATTTCAACTGTTGTGAACAACGCGGGGTACATGCAGCACGCTCTTTGTGAAAACGCAGCCCTGCACGTGTGCAGTGTCACGTGACCACAATTTCATGCGCCTAACCACCCATAGGTGTGCAGAATGTGCTTGTGATTAGAAAACCGCGTTGTCAATCTTAGAAACAAACAATTATCTTGCCACGTCTTACAAATGTTAAACGTCCAATTAGCATGCTCCAGGCTGGCCAGTCTACCGTGGAAGTTGCAAGTGCCATGGCATGCAATAGAAGGACACTTCACTACCTGAGGACACGTGTCCATCAAACAACTACGACACCTGATTGCCCCAGGTCAGAATGGCCATGTGTGACGTCATATGGCGAGGACAATCACAGTCGGCTACGTCAGTTGCGTGATCGTTTTACGACTTCAACGTCAACCTGTTTAGGGACCGTGTAACTACCAAGACCATCTTCGTGCCTGACGTCCTTATGTTGGACCGATTCTGACACAGGTAAACCGCAATGAATGTCTACGCAGGACACAATTTCACTTACAGGTGGCTAAATGTCCTGCAAATGTGGGTACTGACGTCATGGAGTGGCCATCGAGATCACCTGACATCAGTCCCATCGAACACGTATGGGATGCTTGAAAGAAGTCTTCGTGCCTTAAGATGTCAACCCCAGAATGGTCAAGCCGTGTTGGTACAGCAATAGCGCAGGTTGCCTAATGATGTGTTCGTGGGTGCTAGGCAATGAGACAACGTTGACCTTTCTGTTGTGAAAGGGAGAGAGGGCATACAAGCTACAAACCAGATGCCTCGTCCCTGCGGAATCAAAAGTGACCCAACGTGCTACTGTTGACTGTGGAGGGTGCACCAAGCGAAGCTTAATGCCTAACCCTGTTTTACTGTGCGCTTATTACGATCAAACACCAGATTTATTCGCTGGCATCACACTTTGTTCTATATGGGTATGTTAGAGACATATGTAGCAGAGTGTGTAGAGTCATCCATAGATGACATTCTTACCTTGTCACCTTGCTGACGGGGTAAGCCTCTTTGGTCATGAGGACAAGGCGTCCGACTTCGGATCAAAAGATCCGTGGTACAAATCCCAGCACGGAACTCGGAAATGTTATGGCCGCTACATTATCGCCCAACGTGGGGCTGAGCACGTTCATATGAAATTTGAGCAAAATAAGTATCAGTACCCTACTATGCGGCTCTGAAACGTGCCTTCTGTTGACGGGGAGTATGTAGCAGAGTGTGGAGTCATCCCACAGATGACATCCTTACCTTGTCAGCTTGCTGACGGGGTTAACCTCTCTTTAGTAATGTGGACAAGCCGTACGTCCGTGGTTCGAATCCCAGCGCGAGACTCGGACATTTTACGGCCACTAACACATAAAGTAACACATATGAAGTTTCTTTTTCTGTTTAGTACAGTAAACAAATTTTAAGCTTGAATAATCACAGTAACAGAACAGAGAACGGCATTTAGTATCACCTAATGTTTCTTGAGTTTTTGCACAAAGGTTTTTCTTCAAAGTGAATAATGTTAATTCAGTATAGATCTTCAACGAGTTGTGTTCATGAAATTGTTGAACATATCCTGCCCAATTAGTATGGCCGCTATTGTAAAGCTATGATTGTCCCCGAAATAAACTTCTTCATGTAGAGTTGATGTACAATTGGTTGTTTGGTTCCCTCCTTCTTTATTCCATCTCGATGGTACCTCCCAGTGATTGAATCTAGTAAAAGAATTTCAAAAATTATTTATAACTGTGTTGTGTGTCCTCCCTATTGCTTTGTAATATGTAGACGTTACGCACATCCAGGTACATATTCCCTTTAAACATTACACATATGTGTCACGTATGTTATCTGTAAATCATTAAAATTATTTAAATCATCAGTAAGATACCAAAGTCGATTCAAACATACCATCACTGTACATATTTACGTATGTACATATAATGTGACTAAAATAAGCATAAGGAGGTTAGACTTTGGTATTTAATTCTGTCGAATGATAAGCATCACATGATGAAGGCAAAATATAGGAGCATAATTGTGCATTTAAACGTTAAGGACCCCAGTAGACATAATTGTATACGAATATCGGATTCAAAACGTGCTGTTCATTTGCCAGATTAGCTTCATTGCCCTTTTTGTCCATTATTGGCACATATACTGTTACTGTTATATTTGTAACCAAAGGAAACCAAAGTGGATTTTCTTTATATCAAATCATGTTTACAGTGTTACTCACCTTCCAGGATACTCACTAATCACACAGGGACTTGCAGTAAAGATACAGCAACCATAGTAGGCAGAATGATTCTACAAGACATAGCTTATAAGAGTGCCAAATTCGGCGATTGTGTGCTGAAACCGAGCCCATGAGACGTAAAAGGCAAACTACCGATAAATATGTTCCGACAACAATCAGCAAAGACGTCATTTATCAGCAAAACAAACACAACAAGAAGACAAAGTCATCAATATCCCCCGCAATGGCAAAATACTCTTCATGATTATGTCTACAAGTTATGATTATGTCAAATATTTAGGTGTGTATATAGAAAAGTGGAAGGAGAGTATTGAAAGGTTTTTAAAGTTCTGCTCCAGAAAGCAGCACTAACACCAATTTCAGGCTAAGTCAAACTTGTTGCCATGGAAATGCCAAAAAAATTTTATTCAGAATTTCAAAACTACCAAAAGGCACCAGTACACCACCAGACCAATCTATGTGCCAAGTTTGGTGAAGAAACATTGAACGCTTTTAGAGTTCTGCTCCAGAAAAGAGCACAACCACAAATTTCAGTCTAAGTCAAACTTGTTGCCATGGAAACGCCATGAATATTTTATTCAGAATTCCAAAACTACCACAAGGCACAAGTACACCACCAGACCAATCTATGTGCCAAGTTTGGTGAAGAAATAGTGAACAGTTTTAGAGTTCAGCTCCGGATAAGAGCACTACTACAATTTCAGGCTAAGTCAAACTTGTTGCCATGGAAACGCCAAAAATATTTTATTCAGAATTTCAAAACTACCAAAAGGCACCAGTACACCACCAGATCTATCTATGTGCCACGTTTGGTGAAGAAATAGTGAACAGTTTTAGAGTTCTGCTCCGGAAAAGAGCACTACCACAAATTTCAGGCTAAGTCAAACTTGTTGCCATGGAAACGCCAAAAATATTTCATTCAGAATTCCAAAACTACCAAAAGGCACCAGTACACCACCAGATCTATCTATGTGCCAAGTTTGGTGAAGAAATATTGAACGGTTTTAGAGTTCTGCTCCGGAAAAGAGCACTACCACTAATTTCAGTCAAAGTCGAACTTGTTGCCATGGAAACGCCAAAAATATTTCATTCAGAATTCCAAAACTACCAAAAGGCACCAGTACATCACCAGATCCATGTATGTGCCAAGTTTGGTGAAGAAATATTGAACGGTTTTAGAGTTCTGCTCCGGAAAAGACAAATGTGCACGGACGGACGGACAGACGGACGGACGGACGCACGGACGGAGTCCAATTTAATACCCCCTGCAAAACGCGTTGCGGGGGATAAAAATCTAATGCATCCATTTTTCTCGAGAAATATTAGCTCTGTATGCCTAGTCTAATACGAATTCAACGGATGAAACGTAAAGGTTATTAGTGCTTGTATTAGTAAAGTGCTGTGACAAATTGATACCCAATGTTGGAAAGACATACCTGTGGTGTGAACCCAGCTGACAGTGTTAATGATCTCTATATGTCAGAGTTCTTACCTGCTGTGTATGGACAATATTCCCGATATCATGCAAAAAATTTTGCTTCGGCAGCCTTCCTTCCTTCCTTCATACATTCTGATTCATTCATTCAGTTTCATTCAGTTTCATTCAGTTCTTCATTTTCATTGTACACGGTTTTCCAAAGTGACCATTGATCAGATATTATCGAATTCTGCAGGTTGATCTTGCAAGTTAATATCTATGACGGTTACAAACTTAAAGAGTTCATAGGAGCAACATCGCAATATTTTCATAGAACATGACATTCTCAACCTCTTCGGTTCAAGTATATATTAAATACTAAAGTTGAATTCTTAAATCTATTCCGTTTACACAAAACAAAGACAAACTGTCACATCAACTGTTACTTTTCAAAATTTGTAGAATGGTTGAAACATAGATAATAACAAGTTCATGTGCTAATGAATAAAGAATCGAACATGTCAATAACAAATCAATGCTATCAGACTGACATCGCTCTTAAGTATGCTGGTAATCAATTAAATAAGATGTAAAATGCATGCTTATCAACAATTATGCCATGTCTTGTAATGATGACTGTGTTGTTTATGTAAAACAAAATGACGTAATGACATATATTTCAATTACACTAACGTCACATACCACGATTTGAATCCATTCCGGTTGAGTAGTGGAGTGAGAAGCCTCTTTTATTACCGCCTACTCTGTCAGTTATAAACTGGATTACGAACTGTGTCTTGAACAAATCTGAAATATAAGACGCATCAGAGGTGTGGACTTAGCAAAGCAGTGAGTGAAAGCATGTACAACAATTCAGTAGGAGTGCAGGAAGGTTACTGTTTTTCTTCAAAACACGACTACATGTGTAAACCCTTTATACCGCGCGTCTGCTTAATGGCTATGCCTACATGCCTACACCTGGAAATATCATTAAGTACGTAGGACATAGCCATACGTGTTTTCTTGAAGGTTCCATTACAAATGTTGGGTCCTCCGTTGATGACGAGCCAGTCGTATAGACAGCCACTGACGCTGTCTATGTCCAAGTCCAGGAGTTCTATGGTAACAGTCTGAAAATGTCCATCGATGTCCTCGATGACATACGTGCAGTTGAGGTCATTGCTGTAGTTGCCAGGGTAGCCGGGACTGGTCACCTGACCCTGACTGTCGGTCAATGTCATCGAACAGTTCTCTGATGACAGACAGTGGGTGGAGGTTAACAATTTCCACAAATAAAACTCGTGACTGCATTGAATCTGCTACCACATCAGCGTGTTTTGCAATGTTTCATTCTAAAAACCAGACATATTGTAACTCATTTAGGAGATATAAAATCCTGTGGTTCAATGTGTTACTTCATTGCCAGTAAATTTAATAGCGCTAATTACTATCCTATAAAGATACTCTTCTATAAATGTTACTTCCCCTTTCCCAATCAAAGTTATTGTGACTTGGTAATCTCTGCCTGACCAATCACAATCGAATAATACTTAAATTCATAGTAGATGAATTGTGCATCCGTTACGGTTCATCAAGAAGTATGGCTGTAAAACTAACCACCATTTTGATACCCAAGATCCATCTACATACCTCAAGGTTTGCAACGTAGATGACCAGTTTATGGCTATTTTACGACCAGTTTATGGCAAATATGATGCCATATTCCTGTAGTAACAGATCAGGAACTAAGATGTAAACAACAAGAACGTCGGAGTAAATTGGCATTGTGTCATCTTCCACCAGTTGTTCTTGCTTTGTACGGACATGCCAAGTTAAAACAATACATTAAATAACATGTTATTGCACACCTACCTAAAGCACCAACCATGTCGAGGTAAGAGACCAGCAAAAGGACAATCCACATTGTTTCAGCTCGCTAGTTTGGGATCAATAAACTTCATTAATGGCGTTTTGGTGATTTATTAAGTACTACAAAGGGTCGCCGCTTTTTCGAGAAAAAACATTCATGTGTTATAAAACCTAACGAATAATCATAACTGAATAGTTTTGGGAGTAGGCAGTAACATCATCACAATATAACAAATTACATACATTTGTACATCTTAACTGTACCTCACACACTTGGCGATATTAATAGAGTGTTTCTTTATACCGGTAGTCTGTCCATTCTTTCCACATTAAAGGTCACATGCAACCAAAAAATCAAACATAATTAAAACACAATTATCACTTATTCATGACATATAATATACATTGCTGGTTACGAAAAAATATATAAACAAAATTATAAGCGTACAATCGCAAATCGAAAGTGCAAAATTGTGTACTTCGGTTTTACTTCAGAGAAACGAAGCAGCCGGGATACCGAACCCAGTCAGAGCGGGTGGGTGTGCACTCAAGTGTGACGGCTGGTTCATTTGCAGATGCCTTCGCGGCTAATTGTGTGTATATATATAGAGAGATGTTGGGTTTTGTAAATACATGCTCATTTTTTGTGTATAACATTTTGCAATCAACAGACATCTTAACATGTCATGTGTTGAAGTATCACACCTGCCTGTCTGTGTAGTTACATAATGTGACAGAGACCGAACTCGGGCCATAAATCAATGCATTTTGTTTATGGTGTATAGCCTGATTGGTTTTAAGTTCAAATTGCATGTGGTCAGTGATGGCAGCTGTGTATTGAATATTGTCATTAGCAGACAGGCAGGCAGACACACAGGTGTCAATAAAACAAGACATTGAGTTTTGTCTGTGACAACGACATATCTATATCACAGTTAGAAATTCTGTCAACGCTAAATAATGACATTGCTTTTAAGTATCGAACTGAGAAAATGTCTCGGTAAGAAGAACGTGTGGTGAAATAGACAAATGAAATTATATAAACAGTTAATTTACTGTCATAACATATAAAAAGCTCGCTTGTGAGATATCAACAAAACATTAGAAAAATAGCTCACACCAAAGCCTTCACCAAGTATTCACCCGACAACCGCTTCCAAGCTGCGCGAACCTATTTTAACTAATTCAACAACTCGCAGTCAACATAACACACACTATGTTCATACTTCTGTTGAGGCGTCTTATCATATGGCCATTCCGTTGATATATCATGCCCAGTATCTATCCTGTCCATTAGATCACACTGTTACACATCAAACAATGCATTATACTTTCAACTACTAAAGTTCTAATTCAAGCTTTAAGAAAAGTATGTGTCTCACATTGCACTCACCTTGTATACGGTATAGCTGAGAATCAATTATACCTTTACGGTGGCGTTCACTGCATTGTGGCAATCCTGCGTCTATCTGTATTTATGGACACACATTGGCAAACATGATAAGAGTGTCCTTAATCTTGAAACAGGAGGGTATTTCATGACAGACCAGGAATGATATGTGGTGGTTATTTCATAGCTAATTTAATCACACTTGGTCCTGTATATGATGATGCAGTGTTGATCATGCGGATGTTAAAATCGAACTTTTAAACATACAATTGAAGTTTTGAAGGAGATGAAAGTCAAAACATGAATCGCGATTTAGTGGAATACAATGTCTGTGTTTAAATACAGGACATTTTCCCGTGTATGGCTGAATTTGATGATGTAAATACATTATGCCAATCCTAATCGGACGTGTAAGAGTCCCGTGACAGATGCATGATTCATTTGTCAATGCGTGGGTTAATACTCTTAGTGTTCAGTCCTTTGGACGGATCCAAGAAAGTGTCATTCAGCAATGCCAAGCTTTTAGGCAACACACGATATTTACTGTTCCATGAACTTTCATGTTAATCGACCAATAAGTAATTATAGATGTTCTTCAATTGATGGACCCGTGAAGGTCCGAGTTAGAATATTGGCCTTCAGTAACCCATGCTTGTCGTAAGAGGCGACTAACGGGATCGGGTGGTCAGGCTCGCTGACTTAGTTGACACATGTCATCGGTTCCCAATTGCGCAGATCGATGCTCATGCTGTTGATCACTGGATTGTCTGGTCCGGACTCGATTATTTACAGACCGCCGCCATTTACCTGGAATATTGCTGAGTGCGGCGTAAAATTCAACTCACTCACTCACCCTTCAATTAATCATTTGACAATTTAGGTGCAAGTAACGTGATTATATATGACACTGGGAAAACAACACATGTCATTAATACTGCATAGTTGACATGTACAGGTAAATCCGGGTTTGCAAGTTTTTTCTTTGAGGAAACTGATAACTGAATTTCTCTGTCGACCTGCAGATTCCGTACAGTCATGCGTTTCCAGATATTGATTGATCATAACAGCAAGCCCTGCCATCTATTTCTATCTCTAATACACTCGGAGCGGTGGGGTAGCCTAGTGGGGTTAAAGGTTTCGCTCGTCATGCCGAAGGCCCGGGTTCGATTCTCCACAAGGGCACACTGTGTGAAGCCCATTTCTGGTGTCCCCCGTGATATTGCTTGAATATTGTTAAAAGCGGCGAAAAACTAAATCCGCTCATTAATGCACGCAACTCATATCTGTTTCTAAGGATTGTCAAGACTGGGTATTCTTATACCTTAAAGCTGACATCCTCTGTGTTGTAAAACGAATCTATTTTCAAATTGTTTTACTTTGCTTGTAAGCAGTCGAATCTCTGAACGTCTGCACAGTAGTTGGGTTTTCTGATTCATCGATCTTTTGGTTGTCTGGTTTCTTCACAGGCCACCGTTGCGTGGCTGGAGTACTGCTGTGTGGCTTTAACATACTTGTGTTTCAAGCAAACTGTGTGAACGGCGGGTGTTACTGGTAGAGTAAGACATGCTTCTACTTTTGACAGACACCTGGGACACCGATTTTCAATGGTTCATTTCTATTTTTTCAGAGATATTTGGCCTTTTACAAGACTGGGTATGCTTTTGTGCTGACGTTTTATATCCTGCTGTATTACAATGACACTTTCAGTACTATACTCTCCGGAAATAGAAACGAATTGTTACTTATGGAAAAATGCAATATATGCTTGATATCAGAATTGGAGTTACCGATTTAAGATAGAACGATCCTTTAAGTTCAGTGAAAGTGTCAAAACGCACACTTTTCAACTGAAGGCCCGGGTTCGATTCCCCACATGGGTACAATGTGTGAAGTCCATTTCTGAAGTCCCCCGCCGTGATATTGCTGGAATATTGCTAAAAGCGAAGTAAAACCACACTCACATGCCGTAAATCGACGCCTGGAGGTGTGAAGTGTCAGTCTAAAGTTGAACGTTATCTCAATGTTAAACAGAGCGCCATTTCTTTTCTTTGAGATAGATTTCAGCCATGAAAATGAAATTGTATACGGAAGCATAATAAATATGTTGGTTACAAATCCCAGATGAGTTATTTTTGTCTCTCATAAAGTGAATGTATTTTCATGTTTAAGGGATATATGACATTTACGAGCATTGCATCATTGCAGTTTATTCAGAAACGTGTTACAAGACAAATTCGGTCGATCGTAGGTTCCTGAGACAGTCGATCGCAATAAACACGTTTCGTTCTCCCCTAAATCAGAATGCATTTCTATTTTAAAGTAATATGCTAAAGAATACAATCATAAGTAGTTTTTCTGATACTTGTCGACAGCGAATACTGTCAGTTCAGTGTGTTACAGTGAACAGTGACTACTGTCATTGTGGTGCTTAATTAATTTTCTGTGTAGGTGATCATGTTTGACATTGAAGTGCAGAAATTAAAGTCTTACATATCATCTGGTACAAAGCGCATTATGTAAAACGTTATGAAAAATTACAAAGATATACATATTACCAAAATTACAAATAATGACAAATAAAATAAACAAACAAAAAACATGGATATGAAATGAACAATAAGGCTACAGTTTCACAGAGTCATTATAGCCAAAGTAAAACTGAACATGTTATATAAGTGTCCCTAACCACTATGGTAAAGAGGTATGTTCAGGTTTTTACACACATCTGCAATAAGAACTATAATCTTTATCAGTCGAAGGCCTAGAAGGGACATGAAGTTAATCTGGTCAGTCTAACAACGCTTGTGTGCATTATTTCCATATCTGTGGAATTGGTCAGGCGAGTTTTCGGATACAGGGGTGTGAGACAATACTGGCTGAGTGGAACGTGGCACATTAAGCTTATCATAAAATACTTTTCAAGTATGTTACAGCAGAATATGCAAATATATTAACTCACAATGCCTTTCAGAAAGTGACCAATTGTAACATGTTAAATTTGGATCGCACTTTCACAGTAAAATAATTACAGTATTACTTTTTCGGGTTGAGTCACAAAGTCAGCGATCTTACCCACTCAGCCAACGCCCCATCCACAAAAGTCTGACAAGTGTAAATTACTGAGAAATTCCAAATGTACAACAAATCTCCAAAGGGCACTGCGAATTCGTAGCTAAGCCAAGGGAACCGTTCACACACATGAAATATGTTCCAGTAATATTTCTCACACAGTTTCAAATCGGTTCCCTACAGTATAAACATATAGTGTTCTAAAGGTGTGTAAGTATATATGATTAGTTTGATGTACCGCATCCTGCTTTTGTTAGTTATATGTTCGTCTGATGGTTTCAAATATTACGTCTGATGGTGGGGAAGCAGTTGTGTTCAGGATATACCAAGTTCAGGATGTACGAATATGCTTGTCATGGACGATTTACATCCACCGTAATCAGGAAGGATGTAAATGTGATATGAATTGATCATATTTCTCTGCTTTCTTCACAGACATGTATGTCGGGGTGGAATTGTAATGTCATATAATGTGTTGTTTCCTTCTGGAAGCTGTCAGAAGTTGACGTAAACATTGCTTGACTCCAGCAGCCGCTGGACAGACTCTAGACAGAACGAAACGTCAGCCTGAAATCATAGAAAGTTACATTCATGAAGGTAATAAGGTTGTTGGTACTACCCTCTTCATCACCACTGATTCTGTGGTGTCCCGGTTCTACTTAAAATACTTTCTTAATCGGATTCATTGTAAAGGTACCACTAACAATCAGTTCTTTATTAGACAGGAACCCGAAACTGACTTTCATAAGCGTGTGAAGGAGATTGTATTCCAGAACTGACGTATGTTTTGCCAGTCATTACTCAGGATAACGATAATCCTGGGACTCTATAACGTGAAAAAGCCCGAGACATTTATTTAAGTAAACAATCGCATTGCCACTTCAACATTTTCCCCCAAATTTTCGTAATTGGTTATGTGGTTCTATTGCTTCTTTTCTGCAGCTATCAATGAATGTCTTCAAGTGCCTATTCGACACATCTTTGATTGATGACGACAGCTCAGTGACAATTTTGTTTTCGTTAACCGTTTTTACCTCGATGTTGTACTTGAAGTCAATGCTGTACAAAGTGCTGTCACAATGACCAACTTACTAACAATACCATCAGTGATAATTTGATTTGGGTTATATATATTCTGCGCCGATGGAATCGTTAAAAACATATACTGACGTAATGACAATTTTAAGTATTCCACATGCATAAACTATGCTAATGTAATTAGATTTTTACATTACCGTTTAAGCAGTTGAATCAAACCTAATACATGTTTTGGACATAATGAAAATATAACTGCATCCAGGACAAGCAAGTCAATGAAGGACAAATTCTTTCCAAGTAAACAGCACACATTCTACTATCTACACATGTTAATGAGTGAACTTTGTAGACAGTCGTGCACTGCTTGTACTGGGACATTAGCTACCTCAGTATATGGCGGACCTCCAAGACGTGTGTAGAGCTGTCGCATGTTGTTGATGACGTCCACTCTACCGTCGTCTTGCAGTCTGCTGGCAATGTTCACCACGAGCACCAGAAGACGACAGTCAGTCAAAGAACTGGGCCAAGAAAACACTTCTTAGGACAAAAACGACTCTGTGGACATTTGTACTGGGTGCATCTGGATATGCTTTTAGTGCTGCCTATGTGAACTGAACAGCGGTAAGAATTTTGACGACCAATCATGATGACATTACGTTATCCAAGTGCAAGAATAGCTTCTCCACTTTCACGCGTTTATTTGCACCAATGGTTTTTCCATACAATTTTTCAATAATAAAATACAAGGATATCCATATTAGATAAATTTGGGCAATTTAACCACATAAATCTGTATATAGTATTTGTAAGTAACTGTAAATGCGATAATATTTTGTCATATTTAACGGGAGATTGGAGCAGATGCACTTACTCAGAGATAATAGTGCTGGAACTTCGCTGTGGATCACTGGTCCATGTAAGGAAACTGTCAATCATCAAGTTGATATTCGGGTCCCGTACACTTCCTGCGATGTGATAGTGCTGTATGCAGGTGGTATCGTCACAGTCCTGGAATAATGATCATCCGGACTTGTTCAGTGGAAAAACCTAAGTATTCACTTAATAAAGTTCCTTAACTAAATTACCAACGAATAATCTATGATCAAAACATGTAACTTACACAACTTAATATCTTTTCACACACTTACCAGTAAATTGATGTCAATTGTATTCATCAGAATGCCATTGGACAAGGCTGCTGACCTGCGCATGCTCACTGCAAAGCTCTTGGTTGTAATGGGATGATCAACGGATGGTAGATATCTCTAAAAACAGGATAAATATGTCGAGCTATTGAAATTTTTGACCATGGATTTGATTTGGTTCCTGATGCATTTTCGGACTAACTTTTTTATTTCACCCAAAATACAATGATACAAGTTAACGTTAAACTCTTTCCTGTTGCTATGCGACACAGTTCATCGACATATCCTTTAACTACTTCTGAAACTAATTGTTTGATCGGCATTCTAGAAGTTGGTGAGTAAATAATAAAGAATAAAAGTTCATGGATAACAACTACTTGTTTATTGCACAGAGCGGACGAAATTGCTTGAAAAATCCTACACCGAAACGTCGCTCTGTGCAATAAACAACAAGTTGTTATCCATTAAGCTGTATCCTTTATTATTTACATCTAAATCACAGTGATGTAACAGTGACATTATTCAATAACATTAATCCAACTTGTTCTCTCACTGATCTCATCTGAAATGTTTAGCAAAGCTAGTTTCAGAGAGTAAAACCAACCAGATCACCGACAGCAAATGTTATCAGGCTGTGTGAGTCACTGTTGTAAACCTGATTCCACACGTCCTCTTTGTCCGGATGTGACGTCATTATGAAGAAGCCATTGCTCTTTGTGTAAGACTGTAGGAAAAGAATAGGAAAACTAATAATGAATTCACTCCTCCTTTTATGTGCATAATATTCAGCATTAGGAATTTGTCATACTGAGACATATGAAAATAACTCAATAACTTAACTCACCATATAAATATACATTTAAAGCGAGCATCTTCCTACTCACGTGAACGCTTCTGACGCCGAAGCTCTCTGGGTTTCCTAAAAATGAACAGAAAACCTTAGATTTCTTCATCTTAAATAACTAATGATGAAGATAAAGTAACATATCCCAGTTTGTGACTGATGGGATTATTATGTATCTACCTACAACCCACAGATCAGAGTATATATCAACGGGCCGACACAGAGTGACATCGATTTATAACAGTACGGAAAACAGGGCAATGTTGACATATACATCAGTCCACATGGCTCTGCTGATTTACCCACCAGTTTTAAGGAATTGTATAATCCGTATGCTTTCTTCAGATAGTTCTTATGATTAATGAGTTGGAGGTGCTCTGTGGTCCCGTAAGGAAGCCAATATACAATAGCGATCATTGTTCTGACGTGTACTCACCTTGCTGTACATTCCTCAACGACTGGAATAAAATAATTATTATCATACATCCAGTGATGAAATTCAATGCATTTTTGAAAATATAAAATCAAGATTTCATTCGAGCAGACACAAGCACCGTATGGTTTAAAAGATATAATTATTGAACCACACATTTTCAAAGTAACACACACTCAGTAAGAAAACAGGTAATGGAAAGAACATTTGGTTTTTTTCACAAATTGATACATATTTACGTCAGTCATGAAAGCACCCATTTTGTCAGGTGACTTGATGAGATAAACGTATATTTTGAAAGCAACTTCTACAACAACTCCAAATGTTTGAACAATAGACGCAGAAAGATCAATAGTTTGTTTTCGAGAGAGTTTTGGGCAGTTTTGTATTTTGCCATGATATATCCGACAGAGTATTTCCGAAAATGTAGGGACGGTGGGGTAGCCAAGTGGCTCGTCACACCGAAGACCCGGGTTCGATTCTCCACATGCATGGGTAAAATGTGTGAAGCCTATTTCTGGTGACCCACGAGGTGATACTGCCGTAATATTGCCAAAAGCGGCGTTAAAACTAAACTCATTTTCACCGAAAATGTAGAATAATGGTTATAGTGCTATAGTTTTCCTGCTCATTCACAACATGCACCATTCTCTCTCTCCGTCACTATATGGCTGCAGTATTGTCGAGGTGACGTAACTCACTCACTCACGCTCCCTCTCCCTTTCCACATCTGTTAATATCAACATACACACCTCCAGATGTTGTCGCACAGTCCTGTTCCCAAAGGTGATATCAGACACGCAGCCAAGGTCCATCTGTCTGATGACGTCAACGTCCACTGACGTGTCACCGTCTGTCACCGCCCTCGCCACCGCCTGGTACACGAACATGTACTGCTCCTGCACACACACAAAGACACACAGGCATAGACAAGACATATCCACTGGAACTACACTGTTCATGGACAATTTTACCACTGCCGAAGCTATTTACACAATGCTCTGTGAGTTTACCAATCTGAAATACCTTTGTCTGTATCATGTTCTTCCTTTGCCCTCTCATGTTGGAGACGAAGCTGACGACGTCCACAACGTCCGCTGCCTTTGCCTGCTCCACGAGATTCTCGACTGCGATGTATGTTCCTGTTCTCCCTATTCCAGCACTGAGGGGAGAAGTAAGTATAGCCTTTCATGAAATATTTATCTGCTTCATGTTGACACGCATGTTTCTGAAAGCAATGTAATTGAAGGTTTGTTGAAACTTTAGCTGGGAATTTCTCCTCGTCATGACCAAGTTTTACATGAACACAAAAACTGATCAGAAACTGAAATATAAAGACTATAATGCAGATGGAAAGATGTTCTTGTACAAATGTTTAACGATGCACTCAGCAATGGTTCATCGATTTGGTGGCGGTCTAAAAATGATTATCCATATCGTCGCTTCTCAGTTCAGGCAAACATTTCTTGGATTCGTTCTAAAAGTTCAAAAGATGAAAAAGTGGTAATATGCCTGCAGTGGACTATGATCGGCTGAGTTTGTTGTCCAGATATGACCTTGACCCTCCACATGAAGTCCAGCAGGGCAGCAGCGTCCGGCACACCATGGTCTGGCCAGCTGGTGAAGTGGAGGTGATTGACGTCCCATTTCTTCCTTTCCTGGTCATAAAATTATTTTTTTCATGACACACGACTGAAGGAGTGTTCATTATTGTAGCAGAACTGAACAAAACCCACCGATAGGTGTGGATGTATGTTTGTGCATGTGTGAATAAACGCGGTATATCACCTTTGCATTCTCGACAGACAGGTTTGTAAATGTGTAGTTCGATAGCCGTGTATCCGATACCATTGTAACCATAACATCTCCATATTTTTTGGTGCTTTTCTCAGGCCAGTATCGAAGACACTTCACCTGAAACAAAAAGACAAAATAACAGTTCTACCTATCGTTGGTTGAGCAATTACGCTATGTATACCAGTGCATAACGGTCGGGTCCTTCTTCCATTTATGCAATGTCACCAAATATATACTAGGCACATAAAGAAACTGTGCATACAAAAATTTAAAATCTAAATTTATCAAACCTGTGTAGACACATAAGGATTTAAACTCAGAGATTAGTGGCACATGCATGCACGTGCCACGTTCCGTGACGTCAGTGGGTTCGTCCTTGAGACGTGCAATACGTTGTTGCATGTGCATTCCGGGAAAGAGAAACAGAGCAAATGAATGCCACACAATACTGTCACTTTGGAAAACTCAACCCCTGCCCTTGCGATCGTTCAAAAAAATTAAACGGCTATTGAAACGCATAGCATGCCAAGGCTCACATCTGCACAACGTCATGAGGCCATTGGGATTGTCCGTGGGGGAATGTCTCAACGACAAGTGGCTGCACATTTCCACTGCCACCGGAACACCATTTCTGCACTGGTGAGACGCTACCAGAACACAAATGACGTCATCAAGAAAGGACAGATGGATAAGGGTGGCCCATCTGCGCCACAGGTTTCAGACTGCAGTGATGACTGCCCGAACCATCCCAGGACTTCGCCGTATCCACCCCAACACAGTTCGACAACGCTTACGTCATCACGGGATCAGACCACGACGTCCCGCCATGCGGCCTATCCTGAGACAACGTCACCGACAAGCTCGCCGAATGTGGTGCCGAAATCATGTCCGCAGACCATTGTTTTGGTGGAGAAATGTTGTTTTTACAGATGAGTTCAGGTTTAACATTTCCCATAGTGATGGACGTCAACGTGCCTATAGACGCGTGGGAGAACGTTATGCACAGGCCTGTGTCTTGGAGAGGAATCGCTTTGGTGGTGTTTCCGTGATGATTTGGGGTGGAATAATAGCACGCCAAAGAACTCCTTTGGTGATTGTTCAGGGCAACTTAACTGGTGTGGGCGACAGGGATCAGATTCTACGACCTGTGGCAATTCCTTTTCTGCAACGTCATGGCCCTGGGTTAACATTCCAACAGGACAATGCCCGTCCTCATACGGCAACGGTTGCTATGGATTTCTTGCAACACCACAACGTTGACTTACTGCCTTGGCCTGCAAATTCACCGGATCTTTCCCCGATAGAGCATGTTTGGGACGAGATGGATCGACGTCTACGCCGTCTTCCTCATCCGCCAGATAACGTCCTTGACCTTGCAACAGAACTTGAGAGAATCTGGCGTGACATCCCACAAGCCTTCCTTGCACGTTTGGTAGGCTCTATGCGTCGTCAATGCACTGCTGTTCTCAATGCCGATGGTGGACATACCCGTTATTGAGCTTGTGACATGGTCGTTTGAACCCTGTCCCGCTTGTGATTGACTTTTCAATTGAATTCTCCCGACTTGTTATGGTCTCATGATCCCTCCATTAAAGTTTATATGCACCTTTGACATTGTTATCGTACTTATCAACTGGGAGAATATTTTGACAATGCACAGTTTCTTTATGTGGCTAGTATAGTTACCTTGCCCGCCTCAACGAGCCCGGTTACCATGACAACAGTTCTGCATTCCTTCTCCCAGATCATTCTCCAGAAGTCGACAACCACTTGATTGTTGTAGGGACCTGCAGAGTACATTAGTTTTCAGAAGGTAATATTGCTTGATGTTAAAAGTGATTTGTACAAAATATTCACACTGAAGGTATTTATTGAAATACCGAGCGATAGAATGATCAGTACCTCAAGTTTCGTTTCCAAAAATCAAATTTGAAACGTTCTGAAATTCGCCATTTGTCTTTTAAAACAAGGTTTCTTTTATCTATAATAAGTTTGTTTGTTGTTTAACGCCACGCCCGGCAATATTCAAGCTCATTCCATCGTTCATAAACAGGGCGTTTCAGTGACAATGTTTTACAATGACCTGACAGTACAGTGACATGACAGTACATTGACAGTGCGGTGCATTGACATGACTGTACATTGTCAGAGAAATACTTTGGCAGTGCAGTGATATGCTGCATACCGACGGTTCCGTACATTGACATCACAGTGTATCGACAGGAATACATTGACAATTGCAATATGCTGAGAGAGCAGTGCATTGACATCGCCGTCTTTGATAATTCCGTAGATTGACAGTGCCGTACATCGACAGCGCAGTAAATTTACAATGCAGTAAATTATTAGCGCAGTGCTGATCATTGCAAGGTTTCAAGCATGTAGGGGGTTACCTTGTGCTGCTATATAGCGCTTGTCCTTCGTGTAGCCCTGAATGGAAAAATATGGCCATGGATGGTGAAGCACATGACTAATTTTGAAAGTTCCCTTGTAACACTTGAACTAATTTTGGTCGGAAATGTGTACTAATACTTAAAGCAGTTGCCATGACAAAATCAGATATGTAATACACTTGGATCGCTTTTGCACCCAGTTCACAAACAAAACTCAAAAGGTACCTAATCTTCAGTTTAAGACTACCTCAAAATCATAACCAAACAGGTTTAAACCCAATTTACTCTCCCACTATCACTATACGTTGACTAATTTACTCCTCTTCAGATATAACTGACACATTATACTTTTTCCACACTGAATATCAATTATGTTTTGCTTCATTTAACTCACATCCACGTAGCTGGCGTTGATGTAATCTCCCCCACCATCGCCATCCTGTAGCAAAACACGGTTGTAGTCATCTGTGGGTGCAGAGTATTGATCATAAGCATAAACTTCACATCAATTTACAGTCTAGGTATGAACAGTTAAAAAACAGCAAAAAAACTCGTTTCGATTCTCAGCTTACATGGGTAATATCCTTTGAATCTGTTCTTCCCGCTGTTCTTTGGCATCTGTGATTCCACGTAAGGATGAATGAAGCCATCAGGTAGACGCTGTGAAAGAAGAATTTACTGTTATTCGTCATTTTCATGTTTCAATTTTTTATAGTAAAATTGTATTTGACGTTAATAAGCAAATGTAACCTTAAATTCATCTTCTGCAAGTCCAGGTGTTTCTTCAAATTCTCGAGCTCTTGCTTGTAATGTAGAAACAGGGATCAGGCGACCAATGCCAGCCTCCTCTAGGTTGTAGTAGTTTCTGTCAGGGACTTCCGCTGCTTCCTCTCGTTGTGTTGTTGAGTCAAAGTTCTCCTCCAGTTCCTCTTCTTCCGTGTCCTCTTTCTTCTCCTCTTCGTGTATTGGCTCCCCCTCCTTCCCCTTCTCTCCCGGTTCCCCCTCCTCTTCCTGCTTCATAGGCCTATTCTCCTCCTTCTCAGGTGGAGTTTCAGGTTGAACCTGTATTAGCTTCTTCTTTGAAGCTGTGGACTGCTTCTCTCCATCATTTCCAACATTCATGTAGACATTGCCTGCGTTGTTTAAAAAAAAGAAGAGATGTTACATAGTAATCAAACCCTTTGGTTAAGAGCATGGTCTAAACCTTTTTTTGTAGTTAAGAAGTTTTCATTTTAGAACCTGACTCGACAAAAACACGGATACAATCATCTGATCTACCTTCATCTTGAGAGCTCTGCTCAGCCTTCGAGACGAGTTCGGCATCGCCATGCTTCTTTTTCGAGAGATTCCTTCGTCTGTGCAATGAAAATGGTATCTCAAACATTGTTTCCTATAAAGTATTCATACATAATGAATAAAGTCTTTATTGGGCTACTTCACCAGATTAAACAACGATTTATTATCCATGTGCTATTGATGGTACTAACCTGATGAAGACAAAGATGAGAACCAGCACAAGGCCAACCAGCACAACACCCACCACTCCAGCATATGTTGCCACAGAGACAGGGGAATCAGATGACACGGCCTCTTGAAACACTTCAGATTTCATTTCATAAATGAACGAATACTCAACAACGGCATAGCAATTCCATAGAAAAAGCAATATATACATATAATTCATTTTAAAACAACAGCAAAAGGATACGTAAAGGAAATAATGATGATCGCAAGCACATAAACTGCCCAACCTCAAACAGCAAGCTTGCAAATTCTACTTAATGGTCACCCATTAGTTACCCAGACGTGTTGGCATAGTGGGTAACACAATTGCTGATGCAATCTTTCTGACACCACTCCTTAACCGACACAGTAATTATAAACCTGTAATCAGATGTTAGATCGGGGATCTTATGCAAAAAAAACGGGACACCCAGTAGGTATTAAAAATTACATGCAATAAAGCCAACTATCGGTTATACCGACATTGGCTGTCAGTCCTGTACCTGTTGAAAGGTGAGGATCCTCCATTCCATCCTGATTGACTGTATTGATCTTTCCATCACAAGGGATAACTATGTCGAAGCTTTATCCACGAAGGGCGTTTTTTAATAATGTCAGTTTTCCTTTAATTATTGGGTTTCTTAAAGAAATTGACCTCATTGAAAACTGTTGATCATAAGTGGTAGATTAGATTAGCGGCTGAGATTGTTTGTGGCTGTAACCTCAAAAGGGTTTAAAATATTATAAAATTATTGTCCTTAAGAGAAAGAACGGAAGTCCCAAAATATTTGAAGCAAAGTTTGATCTATAAGATTTTAATTGTAATATGATAGTCATTTCAGGTTATGGCTAGATCTAAGCACAGTCGACATCGGCTGAAGGGATGATATAAAACCAACCTGGGTTCATGTAGGTAGCAAAAGTAATGTAAGACCCCATGGTCTTTAGTCTGGTGATCCACCTCTAGTGGCTGGCGATCTATAGCCTATCTATATATTGTGTGTTGTCCGAATAGTGCTATTACTTTATTGGATTTTAATGTGGTTATTTCATCACAAACGACGTGATTCCGTCCAAATTATATATATAAGATAAACATCCTGACTTAGTTCACCTTTGTTCAGAGCAGTGAGATTGGAAACACAATGAAAGAGTATACCTGTACAGTCTGACTCTATCCACCCTGTCTGACAACCGCTGTCACAGTTCCCTTTGAAGTTACAGGATGAATTGCTCGCACAGTGTCTGGAGGTGCAGTTCTTGGTGCAGTTTGGTCCATAATGTTGACTGTCGCAAGCTGCCAAGGAAAGATGTTCCACTCAGTATTGAAGGTGGATTATATCAACTGTCTGAAAGATCCACTGGCATCTTTTTGCTGACGGATATCTTTTCATACTGCCTGACAGCATCATAGCCTGAAGATCGGAAGTTTCCGCCATTTTTGGTTAGGGTTAGGGTTAGGGACCCATAAAGTGCAGGTGACCCATAATGGTTATTATAGTGTGTCCTACCATGTTCACGTCACGCAGTAAAGTCTTATGTCAGCATCACCAGTAACCCAACCAGCATAAACGACACAATTTAACGAACAGCGTTACCTGTGCAGTCAGTCTCTGTCCATCCTGTCTCACACCCAGTGTCACAATCCCCCCGTTGAGTTACAGGATGAGTTCCCCTTACAGTGTCTGGAAGCGCAGGTCTCGGCACAATTCGGACCATACAGATGGGACTCGCAAGCTTCAACATGAATAAATGTAAAATTATCATTACAATGTTTACAAACAAAATCTGATAGATAACAAAGCAAAACTAATTCTTCGGCTTTTAGGACTCGACGGAATCAAAGAAAGGTATTCTACTATAATACGATTTCAGTGTGGTTTCAGCCTCTACAGAGACTACTGCATCTTCTCACTGTGAGTGATGTACGTGCGCCTTCAGTAACCCGTATTTGCCGTGTACAAATATGTAGATATACCACACATCCAACATTCTATGTACCAGTATTGTACAATGTATGATGAAACAACGGTCAAATAAATCATGATTCAGCGATTTTTATGCTTTATGGTGGGCACATGCAAAGAGTGAGTCGACAATAATACTATAGCTTGTCACTTCGAAAGCGGCATGTAAGATGCTCTTGTTAGTTACACACCGTATCACAGACCCGTAGGTCAAGGCAAATTATATTTAGGAGTAAAGTAGTCCCTGTGGTAATAGAGGATGTTACAGGAAGATGTTTAACCCAAGGTACACTGAAGAGTTAGATACAATGTTACACATTGGTGCATTAATTGATGACACGGCGGTATCATTGTCCGTTAATCAAAATAACGTAAAATAAAAACGTATTCAAAATGACCAAGTTCTAACTCCGCCTCTGCAGTGACTACTGTATGTTGTTCCCACTGTCAGTGGTGTACGTGGGATTTAAGTAACTTGTGTCTCCAGCAGTGGGATTTTTATGTTGCACATTCAGATCACAATGCATTGTGTTTGCTTACCCTTCACGCAGTCTATTCTCATCCATCCTGCTTTACATCCGGGCACACATGATCCTGTCACATGATCACATGGCGAGTGTTCTGCGCAGTTCCTGTCACTGCATTGTTTGCTGCAATTTTGTCCATAGGTTTCAGAACATTCTGCAAAAGTATATCTCAAATTTGGCACATGCAAAGAGTGAGTCGGCAATAAAACTATAGCGTGTCACTTCGAAAGCAGCATGTAAGATGCCCTTGTTAGTTACACACCGTAACACAGACCCGTAGGTCAAGGCAAATTATATTTAGGAGTAAAGTAGTCCCTATGGTATAGATAATGTTACACATTGGTGCATAGTTAACAAAGGTGTCGTGCGCAAATATGTAAATATACCTCACATCCAACATTATATGTACCAGTATTTACGGAAGCGTAGTAGGGCCACGGTAAAAAAAATGGTCTCACTATCTCCTACGTAGGGCTTACTATCTCCTTCATACCTCCTACTTGGAGATAATGAGATTTTTACAAATTCACCGTGGCCCTACGGCGCTTCCGTAAGTATATCTATGATGATGAAAAGGTCAACTAATTAAAAAAAATCTTGATAAGTAAGTTATTTTATTACGGTTTACCTTGTGTACAGTCCACTGCAGTCCATCCAGGGAGACACCCGGTGTCACATGACCCAGTATGCCGGTCACATGACGATGTATCAGCAGCACAGTTCCTGTTGCCACACAGGTCGTTACAGTTGACTCCGTAATGATCTTGATCACACTCTATTAATGAAATACACTTTTATTGTGTATGCAGAGTAATTCCTTCCATAATGTTTTGAGATATAATCATAAATTTATTAAACAGATATAACCAAAGTTATTCTTTCAAAGTTTCTTTCACGTATCAAGACTAGGTACGGTTGATCCTCACCTATAGAACAGTTTTGTCCCCGCCACCCTGGCCTACAGTCACCGGCACAGATCCCACTGACTCCGTCACAGGGTCCATCAGAACAATGGCAGAAATGGCTGCAGTCTGTACCAAAGGATCCTTGACTGCAGACTTAAAACAGAATCAAAAAGTTTCTTCCGCCTCTTCATGTACCAGTTATTATGCTTTTAGCAATATTCCAGCAATATATTACGGCGGGGGACACCAGAAATGGGTTTCACATATGTTGTCTTGGGAGTGACTGGGTTTAGTTTTACACCGCTTTTAGCAATATTCCAGCAATGTCACGGCGGGTGACACCAGAAATGGGTTTCACATATGTTGTCTTGGGAGTGACTGGGTTTAGTTTTACGCCGCTTTTAGCAATTTTCCAGCAATATCACGGCGGGAGACACCAGAAATGGGTTCCATATATGTTATCTTGGGAGTGAGTAGGTTTAGTTTTACACCGCTTTTAGCAATATTCCAGCAATATCACGGCGGGGGACACCAGAAAGGGGTTCCACATATCTTATCTTGGGAGTGAGTGTGTTTAGTTTTACGCCGCTTTTAGCAATATTCCAGCAATATCACGGCGGGGGACACCAGAAAGGGGTTCCACATATGTTATCTTGGGAGTGAGTGTGTTTAGTTTTACACCGCTTTTAGCAATATTCCAGCAATATCACGGCGGGTGACACCAGAAATGGGTTTCACATATGTTGTCTTGGGAGTGAGTAGGTTTAGTTTTACGCCGCTTTTAGCAATTTTCCAGCAATATCACGGCGGGAGACACCAGAAATTGGTTCCACATATCTTATCTTGGGAGAATTTAATCATTTAAAAGAGAACTTGTGTCATAGATGTGATTTGTACAGATGAATAAAGACAAACCAATCAGCCCATACCATAAATCTCAACCTCACAGAGATTTAGATAGTTTGTGTTGTGTGTGATGGTGAAGTATCGTCCCCTTCCATCACAGATGACTTCGTACACAGAGTTGCCTGTTGCAGTGTTGTTGGGGAAGGTGTAGCATGGTACGCCAAGTGTGGAGTTGCTGGAGTTACTCAGAGAGAGGACAGCGGATCGGATTAAGTAAACATCTGAAATAAAGATGGATGTCTGCTTTTGGTTGATTAAGCTATATCATTAGGCTCTCAGCATTAGCACGGTTAACGAGTTTTTACTGGTTAGGAATTATTAAGAAAACAATTATGAAAGACGGACTAAATTTTGTAACATATTGATCACAGGGTACCGTGGTAACAAACATTGTGGAAACTGCCAGACACATTATGAACGATTTACTGGAAAAACAAACATCCGTTTGGTTAGAGATTACAACTTTGACGGTTCAAGCAATAAAACCAACATTCAAAAGGGGTAAATGAGGTGGCCTAAGACAACGACTTTGATCCTTTAAATAGTCGGAAGTGGCGTCTGTGTGTACATTGTAATGTGACAGTGTTATCCATGTAAAACAGTATTGTAATTGTAAGATTCAGTAGAGGGCACAGGTGCTGCAGTTATTACATTCAGTGTTCAAATTTCACCAAAGTTAAAATGAAAAAAACACTACATTTAAAAATCTAGTAAATTTAAATTTTCTTTGCATTTTTCCTCTCATGAGGACAATAATTTTACAATACTTTAACCCCCCTTGGGGATACAGCCACTAAAAATCTAAGTTACTAATCTAAACTACCAATAATTAGAATACATCGATCTACAAAACATAATGATCAATTTTAAAAAAACAACTACTATAATTAAATAAAAAATAACGGAAACAGAAAGATTCTTAACTGTTGTTACATTGAAATACTTATCCCTTGTAATGGGGTCCAAAATGAAGTGGCCAGACATTGTTGGTGTCCATCGAAACACGATCTCGTTTCTATGAAGACGTTTTCAACATAACTGGAACACGATAGATTTGCCTCGGACAGGCCGTACACGCGTGACGTCACGTCAGCAAGACAACCACATTCGGCTGACCCATTTAAGGAATCGATTCCAGACTGCCAGTTTGTCTGCTCGGACCATTCCTGGCTTACGTCTAATCAGTTCCAGGACTGTACGGAACCGACTGAGGGAGTACAACATTCACGCTTCAGCAAGATACTGCCCGTCCACATGTCGTTCCTGTTGTGACAGATTTCCTGAGACAGCCGAACATTCCGGTACTCCCCCTGGCCATCTGTTTCTCCGGAACTGTCCCATATCGAGCACGGTTGGGATGAAATGGAGAGACGTTTACGTCAAGCCCAGAATGAGCCATTTGTGTTAGCTGAATTGGGACAGACGTTAGTGTAGACATGGAACAACATTCCTCAAGCTTTCTTCAATCGCTTAGTGTCGTCTATGCGTCGTCGTTGTCAAGCCTACATCGACGCCAATGGTGGACACACACGATACTGAATCTGTGTCTTTGGACACCACATATCCTCGATGCCTAGTGTCACATCATACATATTTCGATATTATCCTGTCAACAGTTAAACAGTGATTAAGGAAAACTCCACAAATCACGTTATTATCTTTTTGCATTAAAAAACAAATAATGCACAGTTACTTTATTCCAGTAGTATAATATAAATGTTGTTATGTACGCAAATCTGATTGCTGAAACTGCCACATGTGTACAGGCTAACAAAGGCCACCCATTAACAATACGGTCCGAAAGCGGCATCGCATGCTACACCTGAAAGTTAAGACACAAGATTTGGACAGAGGTTTTAACCCGTGTGCACGTACGTCGGGCGGGAAAACCTGCCCTGGACAGCCAGGAAGAATGCAAAAGCCTGATTAAGAAAAGGTTCAGGTTCCTTGTTGTTGGTTCAGAGAGTTTGCATTTCGAACTGGTGGTATAACCAGTCGACCCTTTCATTTCAACAGCGCAACTAACGTCTTTAAGTGGTATTTAGAAGCTTGCATGATCAAGAGGAACACTTTTTATGGATAGACAACTTCTGTATTGCAATAGATACGACGTTTCAGTGTAGATCCTTACATCATTTGCTTGATAAGGGTGTAAGGATCTACCCAGAAACGTCGCATCTATTGCAGTAAAGAAGTTGTCGATCCATTAAAAGTATTTCTCTTCAGCAGTGCAACTGTTAATCTGTAAGGTATTAAATCATGTTTTGTATACATCACTTATTTAGCAATTTGCTAATGTGAAGATGAAATGTTCAGAAACGACAAGCATGCATACATAAATGCCGGTTGTATATCCTGACGTCGTGTATCCTGTACTGCTGTCCCAGGTCCACTGTCCACACACTTGGAGGGCTAACAGAGTGGTAGCAGGAGTTGTGTAACACATCCTGGTCCCGGTTCCCATCTACAGCTTTGTCTGCAGACCAGGCAGACCTATAGATCCCAGAAGATGTGGTGGCACGTTTCTTGTAGGCAATGTTTTCTGTTTGAAAAGATATATCACATGATCGAATGTTCAAACAAGTACCGTACTACCAATAATGATAAATGTCTCCCGAAAACAACATATATATATCCATAATGGTTTAAATGTAATTGTAATATTCAATTGTTCACAAACTAGAACGCCTGACACATTTTCTGTACCAGCAAAACAATTAACAATATGTTGATTTTTTGGATCTTGTCGCTCGAGATCTATACGGCGTCCACATGTCAACCATATGGCCAAAGCAACCCCGCAGTTCCAAATATGTTGTTGTTTTATATGTCTCTTATCCTTATTTACTTTTTCACATATCCACCACCCTAAATCATGTAAGCCTGTCTATAACCCATAGTCACGTGGGTATAGGAGCTATGGTTAAGGTTGGTGTCTGTTTCTTTCTCTTGTAACATACATTGTGTTTTGCTATTTCTTCGTGTAATACACTGATGTACAAAAGAACTCACACATGTTGGTTTGTTATTAATTCCCAAAGCAAATACCTTGAAAATTGTTTTGATGGTATTATATGGTGACTGGTACAGAATGATAGGTTGAGGTGTCGGGATCGAGCCCACCTGTGACCGGGTGTAAAAACCTTAGAGTCAACTTTGTGTGCAGACGCTTTCAGTGTTGTCACAACCCCTAGTGTACAGTACACAACCCTGTGCACTTAAAAGAACCCATGAATCCGTTTGTATATGACCAGATGGTGGCCACATGAATACGTGCAAACACCTAGTTGTGGGTACAGCAACGTGCAGTAAACTTGGACAAAGTACTGTGTCCCAGTCCACCCAGCTGTGAATTGGTACCTCGTTAGGATGAGAAAGCCACAATAACACGGTGCGCCTAGTGTGCACTTAAAAGAACCCATGAATCCGTTTGTATATGACAAGATGGTGGCCACATGAATACGTGCAAACACCTAGTTGTGGGTACAGCAACGTGCAGTAAACTTGGACAAAGTACTGTGTCCCAGTCCACCCAGCTGTGAATTGGTACCTCGTTAGGATGAGAAAGCCACAATAACACGGTGCGCCTAGTGGCTGCACGAGTTGTATACTCCCCAGGGAGTTGAGATTGATAATAAGATGTGCCGCTGAGATTGACATCCAATGATCGAAGGGGGAAATACCAGCGCCTTGAGCATGCACTAGTTCCGTGGATATGTGCGCCATATAAATATGCTATAATAATAATAAGAATTATAATACTTGTTGCCAAAACACCACATATATCCTGTATAGTGCTGTGAGTGGAATATTTTGTTGAATCGCACGTGCACGTTGAATCTGCGCCAACAGAATGAAACACAATCGATTGAGATTGTTAGTGGTACACCTGTTAAAGGCACACTTCAAAGTGCCAAGAATATCAGCAGCAGAGTGTGATTGAGCTTTTGGAATGTCGCCGATATAGGTGCTGCGAACAGTCATATGACCAGAACGTTTTGCTGTACAAGGCAGACCATCATGACACTAATGAGACAGTCAAATCAGACTGTCAGACATCTGACAGTTCCAGACGTGGAAGAACGAGCGTGGCCTCCCTGCACCTTCACCTGCACATTTTCCATCAGCCCAACCGGTTGCTCCAAAGGACATCATCAGCATCACTGCATCGGCCGAGCACAGTGATGAGACGATTGTGTACTGTGGGCATCCGTGCCTATCGACCATTTCGGGGAATGTCATGAACCTGTCAACATCGACTGAATCGTCTAGGTTAGGCTAGGAAGGTAAGCCTCTGGCGTACGATATCTGTGTTGTTTTGGCAACATGTACACACATTTAGAAAAATAGTCTAGATTATTAAAATTCTTAGAGTAATGTTTGTATTTGTTCATAAAAATATCGAAACACCATACCTTTTTGACAGGTTCCCCTATGTCCTCCCACCCAGCCTCTATCACAGCCACCTCCACAAACTCCAGTTGTCTTGTTACATGAGTGTCCACAGTGGCAGCTGTAGTTACACGAATCTCCAAACTTCCCTGCTGGACAGGTCCCTGACAGCATAAATGGTGGTCATTAAGATCACAATCAACTTGACGAATTATTTTCCAGCAGCTGTTTTTGGTAGGTAGGATTGTCCACCAAAGACTACTTACATAAAGCTACATAAACAGCAAACAATTCCTAATATGTGCTTCAGGGCTTCAGTGCTACGAGACATACTGGGAAGAAACGTTTTCTGCAGGGTGGGATGTCCCTGTAGAATATCAGTGTACACTTGATACCTTCAAATACACATTATAGTGTGGCACCCAACTCAGACACCCCAACCTACATTTTCACATGTCCATTAATCCACGGGTAGTTTTTACAATTTCGGTCAGAACAGACGATCATACATCATACTGGAATGCACACGTAAAACACATGCAGCACACAATATCTCAAAAGCTATGGGTCACATGTTCAAATACTGCGAAAAGACCAAGCACATTTGGGTATAATTTTCATACTGTTTTCTGAACTGATTTAAAAGATGACCGTACTCAAAATTAACTATTTCTGATATGCCAAGATGTAGACTTTCAGAAAATACACGATGTCAAGTTAGTGACATGCATGACGCAGTGATGTCCTGACTCAACATCGGTATAAACTGGTCGGTCGACTGTTCACCGATGAAGTAAGGGATAGTTCAAGAAAACCTGGAAGACCATGGACGACCAATGACCGCGATGACGGTGTCCTAATACGTCTGACATAGCTGAAATATTTAGTCTCCGAAAATCTTCATCCATGATGTTGAATTTTGAAAAATCCTTTCTCAGAAACTAACCACACCATGGAAGGTTTCTGAACTAGTAAGCTTGTAGAATTACATTGTGACATGTTGAATGAAACATTCTCAATTATTTCTTGACAACTATATACAGCAAGCTACGGTTATAACGAACTCAAAGGAACCTCTAATTTAAGTTCGTTATAACCATAGCTCGCTCTACGTATTTCGACAAAAATATACATCAAGAAGCTGAAAATAGACTGAAAATAAATAACAGATTTCATTATACACGTCAGTTGGCTTATCAATGTGATCTACAGTATATATCATACTTTGAAAATATATAAAGTTCCGCGTGAAATGAATGGATAATAAATGTTTGCGAGTTATATGTTTAATGGCTCGGAAACGAGAGCCTGTTATTAATTTTGTGTGAAATTATCATTTAAACTATGAATTTTACGTTAGAGACTTGTGCAAGTCTACTCAACAACCTATGTTTGTAGTTCACACTGTTTAAAACAACGCACAACAAACAACCACTTGTGGGCACTTGACTTAAGCATATTTGTTGCTGTTGTTGCTGTTGTTTCGAGCTGGCCTTTTTTGAAGCCATGGTGGCTGCTTAAAGGAATCAGATGGACCACTTTTTTCATATTTTGATAGGTAACGCTACATGTACGGGGGGAATTACATTCAGTGTTGGATGTGATAGACCGATTAATGCATCCAATATGGCTGTTACTGTACACGATAACAACATCACAGTGGTTGAAAGGGTCGTGCGCCTCTTGTGCACAGCCATTGCTTCCAATACCCTTACAAATACAAATGAACATAAGTAATATCCTTCACGATATCAAGGTAATATCTGAATTACTTACATGGGCTTTTCTTCACTCAATCACATAGTTTCAATTCAGTTTCTGCGAGCAGAGTGCCAAGGTTGAGCACATACCAATGCCTCAACCACGTGACTGAGTCTGACCACCCTGTCCCTTGAGTCGTCTCATGCAACAAGCAGTTAAAACAGGAGTTGCTTAAGATCACTTGTCACCCTGATCTTCGCTGGTTTAGGATACGCAAACCATGGTTTGATACAAACTAACAAACAAGCTAGAAAAAGTAAGAAGAAGGCAGAAAAATATTTTCCAGACATTATCCTACTGTACATAACCTGTATGCTGTTAAAATGACAAATGCCAGGGCAAGACGTACCTTTAAACAAACTAAACGCCGGTCATGGAGGAAATATGTATCCAAAATCAACTCCCGTACACCCATGTCCAAGGTGTGGAACATGATTCAAAAGATTAAGGGCAAAGGATCAAAATCTGGTGTTCGCCATATCAAAGATAGTGACTCTCTTTTAACAAATATATTTGAAATTGTAAAGAAACTTTGCGAAACTTTGGCAAACCACTCTTCCTTCTCAAATTATAATCCCCAGTTCCAGAAATACCAAACCCAACAAGAAAAGAAATCAGTCAATTTTACCTCTCATAATGGTGATGAATATAATGATACCTTTTCTCTCCATGAATTACGTACTGCCCTGGGCCAGGCTCACGACACTGCGACAGGAGCTGATTTATCAGCTTCTGAAACACGTCCCTGATTCATGTTTAGAAACACTACTCAATATATTTTATGACATTTGGACAACCGCAAAATTTCCATCATACTAGTCTCTAAAATAACGTCCTATATCACTAACTAGCTGTGTTTGTAAAACCATGGAGCGCATGGTCAACGATTGATTAATCTGGTACTTGGAGACCAATAACCTCCTCAGTGACTTCCGAAGTACCACTGGCCATCTGGTGCGTCTGGAATCATTTATATAAACTTCCATTGTCAACAAACAACATACTGTATCTATCTTTTTCGACTTAAAAAAAGCATATGATACAACGTGGAAACATGGTATCTTAAGAGATTTGCATGAATTTGGATTGAGGGGCAGATTGCCTCAGTTCATATCCCAGTTTTTAAATAACAGACAATTTCATGTAAGAGTGGGTTCCACACTGTCTGATTATTTACACCAAGATCATGGCGTCCCTCAAGGCAGCATCCTGTTTGTCACACTTTTTAGCTTCAAAATTAACAGCCTCACTAACGTTTTGAACAGTTGTATCGATGGGTCCCTTTTCGTGGATGATTTCAATATTTCATGCCGTTGTAAGAATATGCTAATAATAGAATAACAGCTACAACTCTGCCTTAACAAACTTCAAAAATGGGCAAATGAAAATGGTTTTAAAGTTTCAAAATCCAAAACTAATTGTATTCACTTTTGCCGTAAATAAAAACCGCACAAGGATCCAAACCTATCCTTGGATGGTACTCCCATGAAGGTAATAGAAGAGACCAAATTCCTGGGACTCATATTTGACCATCACTTGACACTCTTGACACACATAAAATATATGAAACAAAATGCCCGAAGGCTCTTGATTTAGTCGTCTAAAATACAGTGTTGGGAGGGGATCAGACTACCCTCCTTCACTTGCACAGATCTCTAATTCGTTCTAAACTAGATTATGGCTCCTTTGTCAATGGTGGAGCCTGCAAAAGCAATTTAGAAAAATTAGATTCTATCCACCACCAAGGCCTTAGGCTCTGTCTCGGAGCCTTTAGGACCTCTCCAGTAGACACTCTTTATGTTCAGGCTAATGAACCTCCCCTGGAGCAACGCTGCATTAAACTTTCACTGCAGTATATTTATTATGTTTTACAGATTTTACACCACTGACAAGGTGTTGGACAGTCTCTGTAAATTCATTGCACAATCTACATTTCATGCAGACATTTTCTTTTAGAACCACATTTAGGCGACTGCGAGTGGGAAGTGACTGGTCTTGGGCAGCACAAAGAAAGCCCTCAGTTTCAGATTTAAGACAAAGAGTTCGGTGGGATCACTTAATTACGTTCAAATCAATCCAATGCAGCATACAACCCTCTCTATGAAAACCTGTTTCCGAATCTACAATACTTTGATGTTCCAACAGGAATACAACCAGTTACGTTCCAAGTAGAATACCCATAGATCAATTTTCACAGACCGACCCAAGCATGATGGCCAAGTTGCCAGTGCCACAGTCACTGGATCCAAGATCCTCCCGAATTCCCGACAATAGTTCAATTTTCACTGTTGAGGCCAAAGCCATCTTCATGCTGGTTGCCGGGTCACGTCGCTATAGCAGGTAACACAAAGGCCGATGCTGCAGCTTAAGCAGCTCTTGACAAGCCGTTATCTCCGCTGCTGAGCCCGTACAGTGACTTCAAACCCACTATCAAAGTTATAGCCGGGGCCTTATGCAAGAAAGGTGGGACGGCCAAATAGGAAGAAATAAACTTCATGAATTGAAACCATCAATTGATAATACCTACTTGGGTTGACAGTCAAGACGTGATGTGGTAGTTTTACGACGATGTCGTATTGGCAACAGTCGATTTACTCATGACTATCTGCTCAAAAAGGATGGAGATGGACCTCCGATGTGTATCCCATGCGACAAAGTGTTCACCATCAAGCATATTTTGCTTGACTGTGTGGACATTCCAAAAGCAAGGGATTCTCATTATGAAGAGATAAATCTAAAAGATATGTATTCTTGCGTGAGCGGCATCTCATTGTGAACTACTTGAGAGAAATTGATCTGTATCTTAAAGTTTAAGTATGCGCTGTGAATGACGGATTGGTTGTTTATAATTGTGTTGATTTTTTTCTATTTGTAAATAATAATGTAATGAATTAATATGTTTCTGAAAAAAAAAACTCATTTAAGCTGAGTACTTAAAATGTCCATGTATGCAGACTTGGTCTTGTCGCTATTTGGCTGAGATAATGCCGTCAACTCAACTCAACTCAACCCAAACAAGGAAGTTATTGGAATATTGTTATTACAATATCCTTTATAGCATGATTATACAAGCAAGACTGGTAGTCTGGATCACTTATTGTGTGTACCCCTCTGACAAGCGTGGGTTCGAATCTCGGATGAGACAATCGAAAACGTACTAGAATGTGTATCTTTAGTGAGATATGGCATATGGTGTAGGAATGAACATTGCTGATGGGGCCATCCTAAATTGTGGCTGAATACCTTGAGAAAACTTTCACTGGACTTATATTGTGACAAATGGATACTTCATGTTGATAGCAGCATAACTGAAATCACAGTGTTCAAAATTAGGTTAAATAATCCCAGAAATAAGACAAGGCTATTTGGAAGTTAAACTTTAGGGAATAACAACGACAAAGCTCTATAAGTACTTTGTTCACATGAGGAATCAGCTCAAATGGTGTAAACCTTCTCGATTTATGAGGAATAGCGAAGGCAATATGTATTCGTGGTGGTATAGCCAACAAGACAATCTTTTCTATTATATATTGTGCTCATGTCAAGAATATTCATGCATGCATGCCAAAATATCTTGATGTAGAAATGAACACATCTAGCGCGTTGGTTTACAGGGTACATTTTAACGTTGAAAGCTACGAGCTATTGATTGAAACTTACTTAATTCAGATACACCAATAAATGTTAACAAATAATGCCGTTATATACGACATGCATAGAAGGACATGCTTGATATCTGTTTTGTATTTAGATCTATGCACAAGCTCTGAGGGACCAAAGACTCTCCTCAAGAAGTTGAAGGGTTCAAGCCTTTGGTGTTTACACTTCAGAACTTCTGTGGAACAATCGATTATGATCACTCTTCCAAGATCACTATACCTAGCGTTGTGCGAGCCTTGCCCAGACTTTTCTTCTATATTTTTATAAGGATAACAACATTCATAGACCTGTTAAGGGAATTCTCAACCTTGATGAACTGGTGACAAAAGTTACGCCCGAAGCAATTCTTTGTTTTTAACTTGGTACTTTTTTCAGTAAAGAATTGCCTTGTTTAAAACGTATCATGGCACAGTCAGTGTTTACAAACATGACTTGTGTTAAAATGTCATAAGCATTCAAATAAACTTTAGAACTTTTCTGAATCCACACTTGTAATTTGACTAAGAACCATATTGTGTGGCTTTCTGTCGAGCTCATACAACCTTGAACGTTTTAGCTTATGTTTTCAGGATTTGTGTGTTATTTTGGTGTTACTCTGAGAAGTTATATGCTTCTCTCGAGGATAATACTGTCTGATGTACGCATGTTTGTAGCAGTGTTACCCGAGCCGGTAGGCGAGCGATAACACTGCTGCAAAAATGTTAAATGTACAGAATATCATTTTAAATTTATTTTGAAGATCGATAAACTCGCTACCAACTATATGACGTGTAGACAAAATTACGTCTGCCTCTCGACTAGATTTTTAAAAGCTTAAAACTGCTATGAATTGGTTGATTATGTTTAAGTTGAGTGTGCGAACGATGCAAAGTATAAAATAGTTGTGAATGTCGGTAAAAGTATTGTGTACATAGTGAACTCAAAACTAGCTAATCGAACGGTTTTCGAACTCAGTGCAGTGCATGCTTCATATTATGATGTCATACGATTGCTAGCGATACAGCTTCTCATCGGAGAGTTTGGTGGTTATCGTGGCAGCAGGTAATATTTTTTCCAGTTGTCACCCTCCTGGGAGGGGTGACACGGAAACTTGTTAAAGCGTCATTGACCAATGAAATTGAAGTATTTTACATGAAGGTATGATACAATTTCATATACTTTTCATACATTCAAAGTGTATTCACTGTACATCACCGTCTTCAACAACCTTTAAGCAAGTTAGTAATTTATCCACTGTGTTCAGTGTTTTCTACCATGAAGCATAATATGGAAGCGCCATAACGATCATGGAGAACAATGTAATCAACCAATGAAGCATGGCCTGTCACTCACCAACTGTAAACTGCATCCAGCAAGCCGACGTGACCACGAAGACCGCTAATATCCACACACCCGCCATGTTGGACAACCAGGAAGTTATTTGCACTTGCCTATACAGCTGGGACACCTGCTACAAGGTAGATCTAATGTTGCTCACCGACAAAATATACATTGGAGTCAGTAAGCGAGCTTTGCATACATAGCTCTTGTCAGCAGGTCGTACTCAGCACCCTTCGTCACGGTCTAGCGACCGAACCGTCTCCCTCTCTTGTAATTGTCTACCTTTGGGCACCGCCCGTCAAAGTCCGGTGGTCGGCATCGTCAAGTGTGTTCATATTCATTGCAAGAGAATAGTTGCCCGTCGTTATATTCTCTGGCTGTATAATGGCATACGTTTATCATGAAAATGTTGTTGTAACTTTCATTTTCACGTACTGGTGGTATTATCTAGCACTTGTAAATGTCGTTCGTGTGTTTACGGTTATTTGTGCCCATTCAATAGTTCTACATAACGTATTGTAAATCTTTAGTGATACCTTTTCAACAGCTTATGTTCAGCGTTCATTCATTCGTCGTTATCATTCGCTGTTCGGGTATTCATGGTACAGTAAATTTCTTTATTACCTCTGCGCTCAGCCACGGCGCTCAGCAACTCTTCACCTTCACTACAACAGCCTGGAAGTATTGCTGCCCCACAGCCATTAACAACGAGACTTCTACCACCACGATCAGCCCTACACATCGTGAGACATCGTATTCCATTTGCTAAATATTTTGTTCTCTCTCACCTTCTTTTTGGTACCCCAACTTTGTCATCACGACCCCTGCTATACACATCAATCACCTAAAGTTAACACCATTGTCCAGGTCTTACACCTACACATGAAATCCAATCTCCTTAAATGTCTGACTAGACCTGAACACCCAAAAATTCGACCCGTCCCTAAGATTTTAAAAACAGAATTACTTAGAGAAAATGCCACTTGACTTTCAAAATGTGCATGAATTTTTGACACTTCTAAGTTTTGATTTTCTATCGGACAAAAGGCATATATCCTATGCATGAAATAATAAGTAAATGCATGAAATGATGGTACTTGTTGTTGCCCTGCCTGATGCTGGGCATTAAGAGGACAAACCAGGTGTGGTCGCGTCGGAATTGGTATAATGCGTGTAAGAGGGTATCCACATTTAACTGCGTCTTGTCATGTCAGTGGCCTGACACAATAAATCTGCAAAATACGTGCCGGCAATTACAACCAGCTACACAGTCCCTCGCTATATAATTACCATTTGAGTGGACAGGACGCCAAACCAGTTTTCATATCGCCATTGTGGACGACTGGGAACGCGTATCAGTGTTCACCTCATACTATTAGGCTGTTCACAAGGGGCGAGCTATGTCAATACAAAAAGTTCTATTGACATCAGACATAGAGGAAAAAATAACAAGTGATATAGTTAGAGCGATCGACAAAGCATTACTACATATCTTTCATAACATCTTGTAATATTCATACATGGACCTGTATACGAGGATGTATAGATTTAAAATGTATTCAGTTCAGACGCTCGTAAATCCATAACAGGGCATTCATGGCGGATTTGATTCAGTGGCAATTGTGAATATTATGTTCAAAGTGCTTGTAACTTGGAAACTGAAAGTTGTGGGGTGTCTGTGTTGGGGGGTGGGGAAGGGTGTGATGTCGGATACCATACCAGAAGAAGTCCATGTACTCTTCAAGATTGTTCGAACAGTTGAATGTTTACCATTCACCTCAACGTTGATTGATTGTGTGGTCACAGCACACACTTGACACCAGGATGTGTATTGGTGGTCTTCAGTGGTTTGAGTCCTACATATGTCCTACATTTGTTCTTACATCTCCAGTCCTAAGGGTCTGGCTTACGCAGTACCCCAAGGATCGGTTCTTGGACCTCTACTTTTTACCATTTACGCATCTCGTTTTGGTGACACAGTCAGATCCTTCAACCTTGGACTGTATTTATATGCTGATGACACTCAGATTTACTTATCTTTTAAACCCTTGGTTCTTCTTCATTTGTCGCCATTGAAGAGTGTGTTTGTTGCATCAAACACTGGATGCCATCACACTACCTCAAACTGAATGACGATGAAACAGAACTTATAGCTTTCCAACCTAAGAGTCTCCAAACCGGTCTCGCTCTTCCTAAACTCGGCATTGGTCAGTGTGAGAATCAGCCAAAGCCTAAGATGCGTAATATGGAAGTTATTTTTGATTCCTCACTGTCCAAGGAGCCACATATCAATAACATCTGCAGAAGGGCGTACTACCACATTCGCAGCATCAGGATGATTCAAAGATACCTGGACGTCAAGACTACGGTATGTCTTATTCAGGCATTTGACTACTGTAATGCGCTTCTTGTGGGTCTCCCAAATCATCTTATACACAAGCTTCAGAAGGTACAGAATACCGTAGCCAGAGTGATCTCTCAGTGAAATAAATCGGACCACATTACCCCGTTCTTCACTCACTTCATTAGCTTCCCGTCCAGTACCGGGTAAAATATAGTTTCCAAACGTATCCACGGTCTAGCTCCTTAGTACCTCGGTAGGCTGTTCCACCGTTATACTCCTGCACATTCCGTCCGATCAAATGATCAGTGTCTTTTGACAATTCTTGTGACTAGGACAAAAACATATGTGACAGGTTACTCGAGACGGCTGGCCCTCATCTCTGGAAAATCTTCTATCTCACCTCAGAACACAGCAATAGTTAGATGTCTTTAATTCGAATCTAAAGACTTCTGTATTATTAAAGCAACTCTCTCTCTGTCTCTCTCTCTCTCTCTCTGTGCGCGAGCATGCGTGCTTGCGTGCTTGCGTGCGTGCGTGCGTGCGTGCGTGCGTGCGTGTGTGTGTGTGTGTGTGTGTGTGTGTGTGTGTGTGTGTGTGTGTGTGTGTGTGTGTGTCCTCAACTTGATCACTACAACGTTTACATGATAGGGCCAGTGAATGGCATGTGACTCAGTGGATGTGCGGGATGGAAAGTAGGCAAAGTACAATAAATAAAATGAAAATGACTGCTCTGCACTGGCATAAACCTTAGGTATTTATGGACCCCTGTAAAAACATCATGGCAGCTGTATAGATAGGTAACTTTTAACCCACTTTAAGAAATGGGAAATCAGGTGAAATATGTTCATTCAGATAATGTATTTCTTTGTGGGTTTTGTTTTGGGCAAATGTAAAAATGCTACTTTATTGCTATTTTTTAGGATGTACATGACAGCATTTCACATCAATGAAAACAGCCTAAATACTCCAGAAGTGACCAAGGGTAGAACCCAAGTAGGCAATCAGCTACCCCTAGGCCTAAACCAAGAGGCCAAGCCAGTGAACAAGAAACCAACACGTGGTAAATATAATTTATACAATCAATATTTTTTTGTTGATCTGGTGCACTCCAGTTGAAAAAAACACACTTTTCCTATTACTGCATGTTTTTCCCTAAGTCTTGTTTGCAAAGGCATTGTTTTTTAATCCCCATATCTATTTTCACTCTCAGCATTTGTTAAGACAAAAGTACTTACTTTTTCAGTGCAGATTTCAAAGAAAATTATGATTATGGTTGCCAAAACAAAATATACTGAAATTGTGTTACAAAATGTCTCTAATTCAATGTAAGATTTATTCACAGAGTATGTGGAATTCCTACTCAGGGCCATTCTCGAGAGAAGAAACATGTTTCATTCCTACAGACCTGCAGGACACAACAGCCTATTTCTCAGGATATATTCTTTCATTTTCATTTATAACTAGTAAACAGGAACTGGTGAATTCGCTGACATCAAAATATAAAGTGACATCATGTATATGTGTCTAGGGTGTGAACTGAATCTAGTTGTGCCTGGTGTCTTTAGGTCTATTGTATTCGTCTGTTTGAATCCTGGGACTTGTTCAGATGGTAAATGTTTCCAAATTGCAGTCACCACTGTGTCACATGGTGTTATTGGAGAGCAATCTTGTTTTCTTTGGCTTTTACCAGTCGATCCAGTTAATTTACACACAAGCGTGTTCCTTCATGATGTTGGTGTACACACTGTATTCATTATATTGTCATAAACAGTTTGTATGCAAATAAATTATTTGCTTAAATGTTTGTGTGCTGGTTTCTTGATTTGATCGCTGGTCTTTCTTTGGGACTGATCACAGTTTACACATTACTACTAGAACACAATGAATTTTTTCTTTTTACTAGCTGACAGTTAAAGAGAAAGATAAGGATTTGTCAGTTCGATTTTTGCATCTATATTTATTTATTATATCGATTATCAGCTGTTTTAAGGAGGTTACAGGTCTTTATCATTTTACATTTTATGTACATTTTGCAGATTAAGTATCACGACATATAACTGATGCTTTACACGTGTATGGAAATTGAAAAATGTAATAAAACTGATGTTTGATGCACCATACCAGAGAAAACATACACTAACGATACTTCTCTACCATACAGAGTGAGATCTTATCTTCCGAACGGTACGTATTTCATAGAAATCACCATACAGCCCACCTTCAATTGCCAAATTCTGTCGGTCTTGAAAAAAATAATTGTGTATGTGATGTTATCTGTATCTAGTATGCCATCCAAATCCAGGTTTGACTTCGTGGATTGATTTATTTGCTAAACCAGAAGCAGACCTTAGTGAGCGAACAGGCTCAGTGACTTGCATACTGTTGATGTAGCGACTCTCCGGTATGACGTTCCTGTCGCGACCACGTGACCATCTACCTCATTATCTTGCGTAATCGCGAAATCCAGCTTTCGAGGGAGATTGCGTTTTAGATTCCCAATACAAGCTGTATAATGAAATATTACCGTTTTTAACTGTATTTTGTGAATATTATATATACCCAGGGGGTTAATTAAGAGCAAATTGTAAAGGTTCAATGTTAATGTGTCATTGGTGCTTCTCCTTTTAACTCTCAACATAATTCCAGATTAATATCTCACTTCGCAACTTTGTTGCAGTAAAGAGATAGAGTGGCGTATATGCAAACGTAATTTAGATAGCAACACAGCATTTAATGTTTGTGAACATGTTGGGCTGGCAAACCCAAGCTTTCACTCATATATCTATTTTTTGAATGAAA